ACATGAGACGCATCACTGACATACTTCCAGAGCATAGAAGCATGAAAAATCGGATGCGTACCCGACAAGCTAGGTGGCAAGGCAAGCTCATAAGCCACCTCCCCAATCCTCCAAAGCACCTCAAAAGGCCCAATGAACCAAGGGCTCAACTTGCCCTTCTTCCCAAATCTCATAACACCCTTCATGGGTGAAACCTTCAGTAGAACCTTCTCCCCAACCATATAAGACACATCACGAACCTTTCTGTCAGCATTACTCTTTTGCCTTGACTGAGTTGTACAGAGTCGCTCCTGAATCACCTTCACCTTGCCTAAAGTATCCTACACCAAGCCTGTACCCAAAAGTCTAGCCTCGCCCGACTCAAACCAACCTACTGGAGATCTACACCGTCTCCCATATAAAGCCTCATATGGAGCCATCCGAATATGCGACTGATAATTATTGTTATATGAAAACTCCATGAGTGGTAAAAACTGGTCCCATGAACCCCCAAAATCAATGACACAAGCGCGTAACATGTCCTCCAATATCTGAATAGTGCGCTCGGACTGTCCATCCGTCTGACGGTGAAAATCTGTGCTTAACTCAACCTAAGTACCCAACTCTCACTGCACGACCCTCCAAAACAGCAATGTAAACTGAGTAGCTCTATTTGAAATGATGGATACCGGGATACCATGTAGGCAAACAATCTCTCGGATATAAATCTCAGCTAACCGCTCTGAAGAATAGGTAGTACACACAGGAATGAAGAGCGTGGACTTGGTCAGCCGATCCACAATCACCCAAATAGCATCAAACTTCCTCAAAGCCCGTGGGAGTCCAACTACAAAATCCATGGTGATCCGCTCCCATTTCCACTCTGGAATATCCATCTGCAGAAGCAAGCCACCCAGTCTCTAGTGCTCATATTTCACCTGCTGACAATTGATGCACCGAGCCACAAACCCCACTATATCTTTATTCATTCTCCTCCACCAATAATGATGTCTCAAATCCTGGTACATCTTTTCCGCACCAGGATGGATGGAATACCACGATCTGTGGGCCTCCTCTAGAATCAACTCCCGAAGTCCATCTACATTGGGCACACATATCCGGCCCTGCATCCTCAATACCCCATCATCACCAATAGTCACATCTCTGGCATCGCAGTGCCGAACTCTGTCCTTGAGGATAAGCAAATGAGGTGTTACACCCCACGTTTTCGTACGTGAAAGTACGCCATGAGTAAATTGATGGAAGCTCGGAAATGAAATTTACATCCCGCATTTTCGTCGTAAATTAATCGACGTAAGTTCGAGAATGGATTATTTTGACATTATAAGCATTATGCTATTTCAAACAAATGATGAGTAAATTCGTGAAGGTAAGAGGGTAAGCAAATCGAAGAAAATGAATTTTGTCGAAGTTTGACATTTTGAGATAAAATACGGCCCGAGCTAAAATACCCAGTATTTATGGACTAGACCATACAAGGTACCCCATGGCCATGACAATAAAGTATGTTAAAAGTGAGTAGTATTTTAAGTAATTTGATATAATTCTTAATTATGTGGATATTTGGTTAATTGTGGATTTTTTGTGAAAAATTAACCATGTAATTAAGGAATAAGTGGATACTTTTTTGGATAAGCCTTATAAAAAAAGCGTGGCAGCCAAATATATGCAAACTAATGACTCTTAATGTCACATGACATGTGACAAAAATTTGAAGAAATTAGTGGCCAACTAAGCCTCAAGTGGGGTCCACTCATAAAGGTTAAGAAATCCTTTCTAAAGTCATATTGTAAATCTCTACATGTAACATGAAAGCTTCAGTCAAACACAGAAACGTTACCTATCCAAATAACTTTCTAATCCAAAACATAGCAACATTAATTCCATTTCCAAATAGCAACGTTGTTGCAAAATTCTTAAGGAAAGGTTTTGGCCAAAATTTTCTTTGCGTAAGCAACGTGATTGCTCGAGCTTTTCATACAACGTGTTCCGTATTTTATCGCAATTAACATGTGTTAGAGAAATTTTCAAGAGAATCGACTCAGGTATATTAAGGCTTTCGCTTCTTTCTTTTGGCATGATCCATAAAATACAAATGAAGCGAGCGAATGCACAACTTCCATAAATGACTATTCATAGAAATACTAGAGATATTTATGTTCTTGATTCCTCATGCGTCATATTATTCTATCATCTGTTCATGGGTCTCAAAAATATGTAAGTTGGTAAAGTTTATTTCATAATATTAATGTAATGACCCGGGACCACACTGTGCATATATTGTCCGCTTTGGGTCCTACCCGCACGGTTTTGTTCTCCCCCAGTCCCACTGGGGAAAAGGCATATACACATGTAAGTCCAAGTCTTACTAATATAGCCCAGGACTCCCCCTCTATTTTCTGATGTGGGATTCCTGTGAGCTATAGTCCCACTGCACTCACCCCACCAACAGAGAACACAACGTCCTCGTTGTTGGTACCCACCCATCGTACTGGTCGAGAGTCGGCTCCGATACCAACTGTAACAATCCGGGACCACACTGTGCATATATTGTCCGCTTTGGGTCCCAACTTTCGAGAGTATGCTATCAAGTGACGTGAACAAGCTACTAGGGTAAAACCCCCAATGGATGATACCGAGATGGTCAGTGTCTTCTTGCAAGCCCAAGAGGCTGATTATTTCCAGAACATGATGTCCCCTATGGGAAGCCGTTTGCAGAAGCCATAAAGATTGGGGAAATGGTGGAGAATGGTTTGAAAACGGGTCGCATCCTGAGCAGTCGGCTATAAGAGCCACCTCTCAAGCAATTCAGAGCGGGTCAGGGGCTGCAGCAAATCGGAAAAAGAAGGAAGAAGTAGCAATGGTGGCCTCAAGTCTGAGAAACCCCCGTCAAGCCCGAGGTTACTTTGGTTCCTCTTCAAGCACCCCGCAACATTACTACCCTCACCAAGATACGGCATATGCCATGACTCCTCAACCTTATGCAGTAATGAATGCCCAGCCATATGCTTGGCCACAACAACATTATAACCATAACCGAGCTCCACCCCCGAAATAACCCTCCTCACCAAGCTCCGTATAATCCCCATCCACCACAGAATAATTTTCCATATAATGCCTGTACCCGTGAACCACCCAGAAAAACCAACATCACACCTATCGGTGAATCATATCTTAGCCTCTTCCCAAAATTGGTCCAAATGGGTTTGTTACAACCCGTACCTCCAAATAGGCAAAACCCAGAGTCACCCTCCAACCAACCAGGTACCCGATGCACTTATCATTCAGGGGCAGAAGGGCACGACACTGAAGATTGTTGGACCCTTAAGAGAGCGGTTAAGAACCTGATAGAACAAAAGCGTGTAGTGTTGAGGGTTAAGGAGGCCCCCAATGTAACCAATAACCAATTACCAGCTTACAACAACGCGCCAGTTATTGGGATGATTGTGAGGACAAAGAGTTCTACCCAGCTTTGAAAACTATCATTGTTATTGCTGATGTAGAAAAGAAACCCAAAATAGCAGCAAAGCAAGCTAAGGATGAAAAGAAAAGCAACTCCACTCCTCAAAGCATAGAAAAGGTTGTGGAAACCAAGACAGGGGCAGCACTTCCTAAAGAGGCCATTCTTTATGTTCACAGGGCCCCCAAAAAGGAACAGTTCGTGTTGAGTCTCCCCAAAAGGTTTGAGCAAAACAAGGTTACGCTGAAGGTACCAAAGATGTACGTACCAAAGGGGACTTATGTGGCTCGGGGGCTGATAATTTCACCCAGGCTGACGCAGCCCCTGGTTATCAGCTGCACATCACAGAATCCCATGAAGGACCCTACTTCCGTCCCCTAGAACTACAATAAAGCAGTGGTGACGTACAAGGAAAAGGAAATCATGGGGGAGGTGAATGAAACGAACCCGTCTGGGAAGTACCTCAACTTAGAAGAATTGAACAAGACCAAACAGAAGCGTGTTCCACTTAAAAATCCAGTCAGTGCTGAGGAGGCAGAGGGATTCTTCCAAAAGATGAAAACCTCGGACTACGTCATGATTGATCAACTCAGAAAGTCCCCCCTCTCAGGTCTCAGGTTTGTCCCTATTGATAAGCTCGAATGAGCATCTGAAAGTGTTGTTAAAGACGCTTAATGAGGCATATGTTCCGGTCGAGACCACAGTTGAGCAATTGGAAAGAATGGCAGAACGATTTTTTGAAGTCAACCGGATCTTATTCAGCTAAAATGACTTGCCTCCGGAAGGGGCTGCCCACAATAAAGCTCTTCATTTGACCGTTAAAAGTGAAAGATATTATGTGAAAAGAGTTATGTTAGATGGCGGATCTGGGGTTGACATCTGCCCTCTCTCGACCTTACAGAGAATGGAAATTGGGACGGAAAGTATTAGACCCAAAAATGTTTGCGTATGTGCTTTTGATGGTGTCAAGAGGGATACGATAGGGGAGATTGATTTGATCCTAACTATCGGCTCTGTGGATTTTGAAGTAACATTTCAGGTTTTGGACATGGACACCTCCTACAATTTTCTCCTAGGAAGGCCTTGGATCCATGCTGCAGGAGTCGTACCCTCTACTCTTCACCAAATGGTTAAGTTTGAACATGAAGAACAAGAAATCGTGGTCCACGGAGAGGACGAGCAGTCAATCTACAAGGACCCGTCAGTCCCATGTTTGGATGCTAGGGAAGGTAGTGAGCACATAGTCTACCAAGATTTTGAGATCGTGGTCGCGGACCAGTGTGAGGAAGGAACCACGTGTCCTCAACCCTTCTTGTCAAATGCGTCAATCATGGTCGCCACTGAAATGATCAAACATGGCTACAAGCCCGGGAAAGGGCTCGAGGCATCTTTGTAAGGCATTACAGAGCCCATCACTTTGATTGCCAGTGAGAAATTCTTTGGCATCGGTTTCCAAGCTACAGAAGCTGATGTAAAATGGGCTAATGAACGTAAGAACAATGGGTGGGTTCTACCTCAGCCGGTCCCGTATCTCGCCAGAATGTTTGTTAAGCCAAGGTACATAGAAAAAGAAGAAGAAGAGGCCTTCAGTGCCGAAGAAATTGAGGACATCTGTGGGGCAATGAGGCAAATGTTATACGAGGCTCACACGGTCCAGCCGGGTGAAGGCTCAACCACTGCTCAGGTGCAATATATGGGTCTAAATGCCAAACTTCAAAATTGGAAGGCACCTCCGTTCCCAGTCAGGCGGGAATTCGGTAGTTCAGTATTGCCATCTTTTCTACATTCTGAGTTATTTCAGGTTGTAACACGAATTGTTTTAGTTTATTGTCTTTTAAATTCCGATGTAAACCCTTCTATCTTCAAATTCAATGAAATGAAACCAATATTTCATCGTCTATGAATCTCTCTCTTTATTCTTTTTGATTTTTGTTATTTTTTCTTATCTCTCTTTTCAGTTCTAATAATGCGGACTTAAATAACATGACAGGCTTGCAGACTTCATGTCAGATCCTAACACGCTGTCTAACTATGAAATAATAAATCAAGAACCAGAATATGATGAAGATGAGGCTTTTAGGGAAATAAACCGAGAACTGGAACAATTTGAGAATAAGCCTAAGCCAAACTTAAATGAAACTGAGCCAGTTAATTTGGGCAGTTCAGAAGAGGTCCAGGAACTATGATAAGCATTCACACTGATGAAAGAACTAGGGATACATTGATCCAACTTTTGTTCGAATTCAAAGACGTGTTTGCCTGGTCCTATGATAATATGCCAAGACTGAGTGTTGATTTAGTGGTGCACAAATTGCCAACTTACCCCGGTTATCCCCCTGTCCAACAAAAATAGAGAAAGTTTAAAACAGACATCAGTGACAAGATCAAAGAAGAAGTCACCAAACAGTTGAAAGCGGGTGTGATCCGAGTGGTTCGATACACCACATGGTTGGCTAATGTGGTCCTAGTGCCAAAGAAAGATGGGAAAACCTGAGTGTGTGTTGATTATCGAGATTTTAACAAAGCAAGCCCCAAGGAAAACTTTCCATTACCAAACATCCACATCCTTGTTGAAAACTGTGCCAAACATGAGATACGTTCTTTCGTGGATTGTTACGCTGGGTATCATCAGGTTCTGATGGATGAAAAAGACACAGAAAAGACGGCTTTCACCATACCTTGGGGTACTTACTGTTACAGGGTCATGCCGTTTGGTTTGAAGAACGTCGAGGTAATTTACATGAGAGTTATGACTGCCATCTTTCACGACATGATGCACTAGGAAATTGAGGTGTATGTGGATGATGTGATCATTAAATCCAGAACGCAGGACGACCATGTGCGGGATCTGAGAAAGTTCTTTGAGCGTCTGCGTAAGTATGACTTGAAGTTAAATCCAGCTAAATGTGCATTCGGAGTTGCATCTGGGAAACTTTTGGGGTATATAGTTAGTCGGAGGGGCATCGAGCTAGATCCAACTCCGAGAACCAAGAAAAAGGTTATGACTCTACTGGGCAGGTTGAATTACATTAGCAGATTCATTGTTCAGTTGACCTATACGTGTCAGCCCATATTTAAGTTGTTGAAGAAAGATGTGGCAATTGGATGGACGCAGGAGTGTTAAGAAGCTTTCAACAAAATCAAAGAATATACATCGAATCCGCCAGTATTGGTCCCACCCGAACCTGGAAGACCTTTGTTCTTGTACTTGACAGTGTTGGAGAACTCTTTTGGATGTGTTCTCGAGCAACATGATGTGACCGGGAAGAAAGAACAAGCCATATACTATTTGAGCAAGAAGTTCACTAGTTATGAAGCCAAGTACACTTTGTTGGAAAGAACTTAATGCGCCCTAACTTGGGTCGCTCAGAAGCTTAGACATTACTTGCTGGCTTATACCACCTATCTCATAACCAGATTGGATCCTTTGAAGTACATATTCCAAAAATCGATACCCACAGGAAGGTTAGCAAAATGGCAAATCCTGCTCACCGAGTTTGACAGAGTCTATGTCACCCGCACGGCAATGAAAGCTCAAGCTTTGGCGGATCACCTAGCTAAAAATCCTGTAGATGATGAATATCAGCCTTTGAGTACTTACTTTCCGGAAGAGGAAGTAAATTCAGTTGAGGTAATTCCAGAAGACACCAATGCTTGGAAAATGTTCTTCGACGGAACTGTGAATGCAAAAGGTGTCGGGATTGGGGCAATTTTGATTTCATCCACTGGTCAGCACTATCCGGCCATAGCCCGTCTTCAATTTTCTGTACGAAAAACACTGCCGAGTACGAGGCGTGCATCAGGATGTGGAAGAATTGTTAATCATGGGAGATTCTGACTTGATTATTCGACAAGCTCTAGGAGAATGGGAAACCCGAGATATCAAGCTTACCCCATACAGGCAACATGTAGAAGATCTTAGCAAGCGGTTCAAATCCGTCGAGTTCAGGTACATTCCTCGGTTTCACAATGAGTTAGTCGATGCACTAGCTACTTTGGCCTCGATGCTGCCGTATCCAGGCAATGTCCACATTGACCCAGTGGAAATCCAAATTCGAGAAAGACATTGTTATTGCAATACAGTTGAGATAGAACTAGATGTTCAGCCATAGTAGCATGATATCAAAAGATTTTTAAAAACAAAGGAATATCCTGAACAAGCCAGCGAAGATCAAAAGAGAATCATTAGAAGGCTTGCCAACAATTTATTCTTGAGCGGAGAGGTCTTGTACAAAAGAACTCCAGATTTGAACCTTTTAAGATGCGTGGATGCCCAAGAGGCTAGAAAAATCATGAATGAGGTGCATGCGGGAGTATGTGGACCCCATATGAACGGATACGTCCTTGCAAAGAAAATCCAATCGGGCAGGTTATTACTGGATGACCATGGAAAAGGATTGCTTCAGTTTTGTCCGAAAGTGTCATCAGTGTCAGGTACACGGTGACCTGATTCATGCACCACCTTCAGAATTGCATCCTATGTTGGCACCATGGACGTTCGTTGCTTGGGGTATGGATGTCATTGGACCAATCAACCCAAAAGCTTCAAATGGGCACAGATTCATCATAGTTGCCATTGAATATTTCACAAAATGGGTTGAAGCAGTCACTCTCAAAGACGTCACCAAGAAAGCAGTGGTGGACTTCATGCATTCCAACATTACATGTCGTTTTGGTATTCCTAAGACTATCATTACGGACAATGCTGTAAATTTGAACAGTCATTTGATGAGGGAGGTATGCGAACAATTTAAGATCACGCATCGGAATTCTACCCCTTTTCGGCCCAAAGCTAATGGTGTCGTTGAAGCAGCAAACAAAAATATCAAGAAGATCCTCAGGAAAATGATTCAAAGTTCTAGAAAATGGCATGAAAAGTTGCCTTTTGCATTGTTGGGATATCGCACAACCGTGCGCACATCAGTTGGGGCAACACCCTATCTATTGGTTTATGGCACTGAAGCCGTAATACCTATAGAAGTTGAAATTCCAACTCTTCGAATAATCGTTGAAGCTGAGATTGAGGACAATGAATGGGTCAAGACGCATCTAGAACAGTTAACCATGATTGACGAAAAGCGGATGGCTGCAGTTTGCCACGGGCAGTTGTATCAACAAAGAATGGCCCGTGCCTACAACAAGAAAGTGCGGCCTAGGAACTTTGAAGTGTGGAAACTCGTCTTGAGACGCATTCTCCCGCATCATAAGGAAGCAAAAGGGAAATTCGCTCCAAATTGGAAAGGTCCGTACATTATAAGGAAATTATTGCCGAAAGGGGCATTGTACTTGGGGAGACATTGAAGGAAATGACCCAAAATGGTTGTCAATGCGGACGCGGTCAAAAGGTATTACGTTTGACCCTTATGCGATGCTAATATTCTCCGATTGAGATGACAAGACTTTCATTCTCGCTACCCAAACACTGTTAACCCTTTGCAAACCCTTTGAGCCGGTTATCTTTCTTTGATTACCCTCTTTGGAGCCCGAAAATGTTGTGAAAAAAAAAAAGAACAAAACAAAACAACAAAAACAAAAAAAATCAAAAACAAAGTTCCCTAAACTACGTTCGACTTGATTCTGAAAGGATACGTAGGTAGCCTCTCTCAAGGGTTCAGTCATACCAAAATAAAAATTCACATTTCCCCAAAAGTTGAAACTGGGGCAGAAGTTATAATGGTTCGACGATGTTTCGCCTGAAAGGTTCCAAAGTTGTAATTCAATTCAAACTCTTTTTACCCCAAATCATGTTCAGGTCTTCCCGATCAATCGGTAAAGATGTTCAAAATTGGAGGATGTGGTTACTTGGATCTGATACAATCAAATGAGAGAAATAAAATGAGAGAGCCTTATTGGTGAAAACCCACACAGGCACCATAGGGCGATGGTAAGCAGAGAAATTGAAATGAGAGAGTCTTATTAGTGAAAACTCGCAAAGAGCACTATAAAACGATGGTGAGAAGAGAAATGAGAGAGGTCAGTTGGTGAAAACCTGCAAAGGGCGACACTGATCGAAAAAGGGATCCCTTACAACCATCGGTACTGATAGACTCCTGGCAAGGTTTCTCAGTTTTGAGGTATGGGTTATGATGGGTTTATGAGAGTTGGATGGTTTGCACATATCAGGTATCCAGTCCAAGAAGCATGTCATGTTTATTGAAGTCTGCATCCACTCCAGATAAGTCCTTCTTTATTTTCCCTGAAAGGGACACTTCTCATTTAAATTCATTATCCTGTCCGCTGTTTACTTTTCTTTGAATCCCTTTCGGTCTAATTCTCCTCCAAAACTAATACAAAGAAAAGATGGCAAGATTGGTTTTACAGGGTTTTGTTTGACAAAAAGCTAATATTCAAGGAAGCACCCAGCCTCAGCAGGTGTATCAAGTCGACCTCGACTGGCCATGATGGTCGATGCTCTAGAGTCAAAAACTCTTGAAAAGAAAAGAATTCAAATTCAAGTTCCCATAAAGGAAAAATAAGATGGAAAAATTCCAAGCCCCACATGGGTTAATCATCATGTTGGAATTTGGGAGAAGTCAGGATCCTCGGGTTTAGAAATGAAACCAATTTCCAAAGCCAGCAAGCAATGGGGATTTTTATTGACAGAGCTGGGACAAGATCAAATGATTGAAACCATCAAGACCACAAAACCAACCACCATTTCAAATCCAAAGCAACCTTGCAAGAAGCAGGTGCAACCAAAAAGAAACTACGCAAGGGCTAGAAACAGTTTTGCATCAATAATCAATCCAAAAGGGAAGTCTCCTCCAAATTCTTTCCTGCATTTTTTACTCATTTTCTTAAATAAAAAAAAATTAAATGAAAAGAAAGAAGAAGAAAAATTCAAAATCATGGTAGCATAGGGTCTCCAATCTCTAGCTACGTCTTTTCCAACATAGGGTCTCATTCCCTAGTTGATTCCAGCATAACCCGATGACTTTTCTGGCATAACCCGATGACTCTTCCGGCATAACCCGATGATTTTTTCGGCATAACCCTATGACTTTTCCGGCATAACTCGATGACTCTTTCGGCATAACCCGATGACTCTTCCGGCATAACCCGATTACTTTTCCGGCATAACCCGATGGCTCTTCCGGCATAACCAGATGACTTTTTCGGCATAACCCGATGACTTTTTCGGTATAACCCGATGGCTTTTCCGGAATAACCTGATAACCTTTCCAACATAGGGTCCCACTCCCTAGCTGATGCCAGCATAACCTGGTAATCTTTTCCAATATAGGGTCCCACTCCTTAGTTGATGCCAGCATAACCTGGTAATCTTTTCAACTTAGGGCCTCCAATCCCCAGTTGATTTCATTTTAGATATAGGGTCTCCACTCCCTAATTTCTTTTTTCTCAAGGATACACAATCCTGATTTTTATTGCTTTCAATAAAGAGTAGTTTAGATTTTTACAATAACTCATGAAATTTTCCTAGTGAAAATTGGGGCAGAAAAATTTCGTTCGTTGTTTGTTTTGGTGCCTGAACATGTTTTTACCGTAAGGCACGAGGTTTGAGATGACCGAAAGAAGAGGTCTCAATTCAAATAAAAGAAAAGATGAACAAGAAAAGAAGTGAACTCTAAGTGTAGAAGCGGAGAAAAGATGTGGACTGCTCAAGATATGATTGAAGTCACAAGTTTTGCATGCCCCTCCTTGATCCAAAAACCTGAAGAAAAATGAACCAACGTTCGCAGCTAACGAGCATCAAGATTCAGATCAGAATCTGCAGGAAGAACCAACCAAGACTCAAGATCAAGCTTCAGAAGGTTTATAGATAGGAATCTTATAACTCGTAGTTGATAGGCTTAGTTAGCTAGTTTTTTATTTTTCATTTTGGTGTAATAAGGAGCTCAGCAAGCAGAAACAGCAGCAACAACAGTGAAATCACAGTTTCTCGGTAGTCCCAGCTACCAAAACTTTCAGAACTACACTGACATAATTGCTTTATAGCCAAGGATATGTAGGCAATCTCCGAAGCAAGGTTCGATCAGATTTTTCCCAAAAATTGCTTCCCAGGGAGTATCCAGACGGGCAAAAATCGCTCATAATTGCTCATTTTATCTTTGCTCGAAAAATCTTCATGTTTTCGAGCAAAGAGGGGCAGTTGTGAGCATGTGATTTTTTCCCTATTAGAATTAATTTATTTCGAAATTGGTTTCAATTTTATAGGATTTTTGTAGGATTTTTATTAATTGTTTGCATTTTGTGCACGTTTAATTTTGTTAAAATCATGAAAAATACCCCAAAAATATCAAAATACCATGCATTGCATATTAGATTTTATGTTCATATTTTAGGATTAATTGGTTAATTAATTGCATTATTAAAATAAAATCACAATAAAAATGTCGTTCGTTTTTCTACATTTTTAGTTTTAGTTCTAGATTAATAATTCCCTATTTATTAACTTAGAATTAATTAAGTATTAAATAGTAAAAAATAGATGATTAGCTTAATTTATAATTTAGGATAATTTAGGATGAAAATTAGAATTTAATTAATTAGGCTAGATTTTTTAATTAAAGAAAAAAGAAAGGAAAAGCAATAAAAAGAAAAAAAGACTGTTTGTTCGAATTTGGGCGACCCAGAGACCAAATCTGGTAGCCAATTTCCCCTTTTACCCCATTCAAGCCCCAAGCCCAAATACCAAATTCACCCGGTCCAATCCCACACTTACCAAAACGACCATGTTTCGCCCCTCCCTAATCCCAGTCGTTGATCATCACAGATCCAACGGCTGGGAACTAACCAATCTTTCCCTATATAACTGTCTGAACGGGACACAACCCCCATAGAACCCCTCCCCCCCTCTCTCACTTCCATCTCTCATTCCCACATAGAGAAACCCTAGCCGCCCTAATATACTCCGTCGTCTCCGTTGTGGTCCGCCGACCGGAAATTGCCTCACGGCGGTGGACCACCTCCAAACCTACCAAATTAACACCCCATAATCGTCTCCTCTTCCTCTTTCCATATATCACCACAATTTCTTTCAAATAAGCTTGGAATTGCTCGAATCTTAGATCTAAAATCCCCAAAACCCTAATTTTTTTCCTTTCTGATTCTTGGTCAGTTTCGAGTCGTTTGAACCTAAGACTTTCATTAATTGACTATTCTTGTTAAGAACAGTTGATTAATGGTCATCTAAGTTCATGTTCTCCCTATAAATTGGCCGATGTCTTGACTGGTCCATTCCAAAACGAGCTTTAGGTGATCTACTTTCCTTTTCTATTTATTTTATCTTCCATTTTCTTTCATGTTTATTTTTTTATTTAGCCTGCATGATTTAGGTATATGTTAGGTCTTTTCTTGTCTGTTCGGTTTTTTGTCTATTTGTATCCGTTCGTTTGTGTTAATTGAAGCATGCTGAATGTTATAACTATTTGAAGCTTAATTTAGATTGCATAAGATTTAGGTTAATTTGGGTTAACGTTTAGATTTTTGATAAATTGCATGACTGTTCTTTTCTTCTCCATGTTTCTGGTTATTTCTCTTTTATGCTCATTTGCTTATGTTTAATGTTTATTTTTAGTTGATTAGAATGGTTTTACTCAAGTCCCAAAAGTTAATTAACAATCTATTGGACATGTTTCTGATTAGCTATTAGAAACATTAGCTCAGTTGATTAATTCGTTTGATTTGCAAATTGATTAGTTTAATTTCTAGGTTTTCTTGGCCTCACCACTCTGTTTTGTTTGATTACTGTTTTAAATAAAGGTTTTAAAATTCAGTGTTCTTGTTTAAGTTTAACTTGTTAATTTACTAGTTAGGTTTAAATTGTTTGAATTAAGCTTTAAATACCCTTAAGCCTAAAACTCATTTCAGATTTAAAAGGACAATTGAAACAAGTCTAGGAACCCTAATGTAGGATCACCTAGTTGGTTCTAGAAGGTCCAAAAAAGGTCTTTGAAATAAAATTAGGATTAGGACTTAGGATATAATTGAAATACTCAGTAATTGAAGGGGTAAAGTTGGATTTTGCATTGAGTAAAAATCAGAAGGTTCTAGCATTTGTACAACTATCCCAATTTCCAACATGAAAAATGTTAGAATTGGGATAAAAAAGGACAGACAACTGTCCAAATATGTTGTACTATCTGACACTTAGTGGATTTAGGGTAGAATATGCCATTTTGATGTTGTTTTTGGCATACCCTGTAAAAGAAAAGTTACTCCCTCATTCTGGACAGAATTCATTTGCCTCTGATCACCTAAAAGTTTCTGAATACACAAAAGAGAAAATCCCTGCAGCTTTCTTGCTAAAAACATTAGTTTCTGGTTAGATTTCTGGGCTGGTTTTTCTTTAGTGTTCTGATTTTGGAATATCTATGTGTTGGTGCTTTGGTACTTCTGGTTCACTTTCTGCTGCTGTTATGGGTTTCTGCTGGTTCATAGCTTCCATTTAGAGCTTCATTTTGCTCCATTTTGATCATTACTATAGTAGGTATGTAACTCTTGGTCCAAAATTAGCCTTGAATGAGATATGGTTTGGATTCAAATATGTATGATGTTTCTGCCTGTAGTCCCTATACTTGTCTCAAACTCATTTTGGTTTCTATCCAATAAATGTTGCTTCCCTAAAATTCCAGACTTTCTTTTATTGTTAATATGATTTCTTGCGATGCTTATGTATGAATCATGCCTATATAAATTGAGCTGATATGGTCATTCGACTGGCACTAGCCATTGCCTGTTATTTTGTTATTATACAATGTTAAATGGTTTTTCCATTGTAATGAAGCTTTTACTTCGATTTTCTGGTTGTATGCGAGTGGTAACAAGAGAGGAAAATCTCAGAGCTGAAACCAAAAGTTGACTTGTAAAAACAACTTTTATAGCTGATTTTTGCAAGCTGAAGCTTACTGAAAGGTCTGGCAACAAATGAAAAGCTCAAAATCATGTTGAATATTATCTAGACATATAGTTGTATCTAAGATTGTGTTGTAATCTATGGACTGTTCACTAGTAAACTAACTTTTGGAGTATATTGTAATAATTTTTAAGTTGATTGTTGTGATTAACAATCGCATTGTTAGTATCATGTCAATAGCGAGTGTTATAAATATAGTTTGTTAGTCCAGAATTGTTCAAATGAGGATCATAAGAAATGGGCCAGACTTAAAATTGGCCCAATTGGGGAGATGACCTAAACAAGTCTGGACCCAATAGCTTGGGCATGGGTACTAAGCTCAATAGCTTGAACCCCCAACTGCGGGCTTACCTTTTGAACTATGACATAAACTCATTTCTTTTATGTATTGTAAATCATGTGTAGTGTAATTAATTCCAAAAACTCGAATTATATTCCGATTTTTACAATGAAATGAACTAGATTCCAACTTTGGATAAATGTGTATTTCAGATGGATTTTATTGGTATTAAGCACAAACTCGTAATAGGCCCAGTCATTTAAGAGTAGCGACTGGGCCAGCCTTTTTCAAATAGCCCAATTGGGCTGCTTCATTTTATCTTAGGCTTATAACCTTTAAAGACGTGCTTTCATTAAGTAGTTGATACCTTTTATCATTAAACGCTGATGTTGATTTATATAACAATCAAATTAGCTTAGAAAAATCTGAACATCGTAGTGTTGCTTTAGGCGCGATTCATAAACCATCGTGATTATGAGTACGGTTCTCGTGACATAGTTACGATGCTTAATTTCCAAATTCGGGTGTGCATTTCATGTGACCCGACCATAACAACCTTGAACAATAATAAAATAAATATGTCGCAAATCCGGGTGCATTTCATGTAGCGTAATTTGCGATGTGTTCCAAAACGGCAAGTGTACGACAATCGTAACTTGTTCAAGAAATAATTTCATAAATCCTAAAAAGCGGTTATAAAGTTAAAAATACACACTAGGTTTAAAACATGTAATAAATCAGATAATTAGGTCAATTATCAATAGTTAAGCGACCGTGTTCGAACCACGGAACCGGAAATGCCTAACACCTTCTCCCGGGTTAATAGAATTCCTTACCTAGTTTTCTGGTTTCGCAAACTTTTAAATAAAGTCGATTTTCCTCGATTTGGGTTTTAAATAAACCGGTGACTTGTGACACCATAATAAATATCCCAAGTGGCGACTCTGAAAAATAAATAAAATAATCCCATTTCGATTTATGTCACTTTAATTGGAAAAACTCCCTTATATACCCCTCGGGTAAAAAGGAGGTGTGATATATATTTTGTAAGAAGATCATGGAATACATGTTTGATAAAATAAATTAATATTAAACATAATACCATAACATTATGCAAATATTTTGACAAAACTAATCTAATAATTCTAACTAAAAAATAAATAACATGCAATGTGAAATAACAAGTCAATACTACTAAAACAAGTAAATTGGAACCATAAATATAACACATCTCCAAAATTTCAAAAAAACAAAAATAATTATACTTTAACAACATAATAAAAATAAGTTCATACCAAAAAAAATGCAATACCACTTAAGACTAGGAAACATAATAAATTTATAACCTCATTCAACAATAAAATTTTACTTTAATGACATCACTCATTATATGCCAAGTTTGTTAATGACTCATTATTTTTAATATTAGGAGCTGTAATTTCAAAAACTAAAATAATAACGCAATTATGCTAAATAAAAAAAAATAAAATGAATAAGAAATAAAATATACAAGCAATTACATGGAATCACAAGAAGTAAAGTGTATGCGGCGAAATCAGAGGGCCCAATTTCTTGCTATTAGTTCATTTCAGAAGAACACCTCGAGACCTCGAGGATGTGAAGCTGTGACCGAGTTCCCTTCCTCGAAGCTCGTCGAGGCCCGACCTAAAGGGAATATCGATCGAGGATAGAGTAAAAATAGGGAATTCCCAAGGCACGCGGCTAAGTCTGACAAAGCCGGCCTGTCCGGAACCTGTATCAAGGTGTCACGTCTAGCCGTCCCATCTCCATACCTTTACAATTAATGCATTTTGTACTATGTTGGGATTTCCTCCTATATAAAGGGGATCCTTACCATTTTGTAGGGGGACTGTTGTTGCTCCAACTATTCTACACGAGATAAATAATAACTCTTTCTCTCTCTTTTCTCTCTAACATATTCTCCCGACACTATCCCTCTTATTTATTACTTTCATACTTATTCTTCATTTATTACTGGTCATTGGCCATAAAGAGCCTCCCTTGATTATATCCTAACTGTTAGCCCTTTCCCGATTATCCCCGATAGCTCGAGCCCGAGCCCAGGCATCGACCTCGAGGCCCCCCATCGGTCAGTCCGAGGCCCGAATAGCTAACCCCTCGCTTTGTTATAATTCTACTTTAGTTCGCATTTCGTCTTTAAACTTCACATACCTAGCATCAACTGCTTAACAACTAGCATAAAAATAGATCACGTATTTTTAGAGTCCGATCAACAAATTTAATTGCTCTCACCATTTTCACGGTAAACATAAAGGTAGAGAAATAAAAGATAAATAATGTACAAAAAAATATTTTAAAATTTAAAAATAAATCAAAAAGTAAAAGTAAAATCAAAAATAAAAATAAAAAAGAAATTAAAATAATGGAAATAAAAACAAAAAGGAAAAAATTAAAAAGTAACCTTATAATTACACAGTGTAATTACCTCCAACTCTCACCCCTCCCTTGAGAATTGGAGAGTGTAATTACACCTCTCCAATTACACCAAATTCTATATTGACGGAGTAATTACTTGGCGAGACAAACATATAAATAATTAGTGCCAATTGCGCCAAAATCCAATGCTTTCCAAACAGGCTCTAAAAAGTCCTCTATTCACCGACTTTAGTTACAAAGCGCGTATCTTAGAAAGAAAAATAATTCCTTTTCTTGATGGGAATCGGAGTAATTGTTATCTTTTATATATACCTATTTCACTCGTTTTAGCCCAGTGTCACATATCGAGGACCAAATATGTGAAATATAGATGTATATAGTTCATTAAGAATAAAATAGAAAATTATAATAAAATTATTTTAAAATATTAAAACATGTCTTTCTTTTTGAGACAGAGTGTGAATAAAATAGGACAAAGGAAATAGTATTTATATTCTTAAGAGTCATCTCAAATTGATAAAATATTAGCCATAAGTTGCAGTACACTGCCTTGATTCTTGTTCTCAAAAATCTTGTTGATAGATACAAAAATTTGAGTAGTTTAATTTAAAGTCCTGAAATATTAGGCAAAGATTTAAATAGTTTAATTTAAAGTCCTAAAACATTAGGCAAAACTCTACGGTTAATACTTAATAAATTAATAAGAATTTGAAAACTTGACAAGAATGGTACCGAAAGGAAGGACACAGAGTTCTACTACAGTTAATATGCTTTGGAGTTAGTTTATTTATGATTTCTTCTCCTATATTTTGGATTTAATTATTGATAGAAGAAGTGTAAAAAAATATTGTGCTATAAAGGAAATGACTTTGAGAATCAACTTGGCCTGATCACCGTTATCTAATGCCAGGATCGTTAGATTTGGTGCACCTTGTATATGATAGACCGGCGTATATCACACTTATACCCTCTAAAAAGGAACTTAGCTGTTGGGATTGTCAGACGACCATAGTAGACCCATGGTGTCAGAAAGTATATCGACTCTGGCTTAAGTATCTCTCATTTTAAAGAGATTATAGAAAAATATGAAATTATGATCATATTTTCACTCTCTTGATTTATCATTTCATACATGAAACAGAAAGAGTTAGGCTTGCTTAGTGGTGTTAGACTCACTTAGCGCCGGTCATGACTCTCGTCGGGTCATGACAAAGTTGGTATCAGTGCAATTAGTGTTAATTCACATTTCTATTGTCACTATAAAGTAAAATAATGAAGGTTTTCTTTTAACTTAAACTGTCAAATAATGAATACAAGGAAATAATGAAGTTTTTTAGCACTAATTATAACTTTTTAAAAACTAGATGGTTTTCTAGTGGTCAAAAAATTTTATGCCGAAGAAATAAAATTAATTGTAATCTGGAAATCAAAAAAGAAGAAGATTTTATTTATTCCTATGTCACTATACAAAAGAATAATTAATCAATATATTAATTAAAAGGGAATGAAAAGGATATATGCCACTTGTGTTTTTTGATTTTTCATACGGTATCCGGTAGCTATATTGGGACTCGAACTTGAGAGTTCTGGTTAAGGATGAAGGAGTACTTACCATTTCACCACAACCCTTGTTGGTGGATATATGCCACTTGAAATGAAAATAAGAACTTGAAACGGAAATTTAGAAACTGAGATCTATCCATTAACAAAGTAACCATACAAGGAAACTGAGATTTATGTACTAGCATACCACTTGACGAACAAGGAAGAAATCTATGTCCTTGAAAATAAGTAAACAATGCATGGTATTAAATTAAGGCCCTACATTCAGTATATGTTTAGAAAATTCTCACACTTTATTTTCAATTGTGAAATAGATTTTTAAGTTTTAATTATTAATAAAATTATAGATACGAATGGCAAGACAACACAGGTGACACAGTATCTAGCTGAGGCAGGGTACACAACAAAGGGGAAAATTGGCTGTACTCAGCCTCGTCGAGTGGCTGCAACGTCAGTGGCTAAGAGAGTTGCTGAGGAGTTTGGTTGCCGATTAGGTGAAGAGGTCGGTTATGCTATTCGGTTTGAAGATTGTACTGGGCCAGATACTGTGATCAAATATATGACTGATGGCATGCTTCTGAGGGAGATTTTGATCGATGAAAATTTGTCCCAGTATTCAGTCATAATGCTTGATGAAGCACACGAAAGAACAATTCACACTGATGTTCTTTTCGGTTTGCTTAAGCAGCTCGTGAAGAGGAGACCTGACCTTCGTCTAATTGTCACATCTGCAACTTTGGATGCAGAGAAGTTTTCTGGTTATTTCTTCGACTGCAACATCTTTACAATCCCAGGAAGAACTTTCCCAGTAGAGATACTCTACACAAAGCAGCCAGAAAGTGATTACCTTGATGCAGCTTTAATTACTGTTATGCAGATCCACTTGACAGAACCTGAAGGTGATATCCTCCTCTTCTTGACTGGTCAAGAGGAGATTGATTATGCTTGCCAGTGCCTTTTCGAGAGGATGAAAGGACTAGGTAAAAATGTTCCTGAACTGATCATACTACCTGTCTATAGTGCCTTGCCCAGTGAAATGCAGTCCAGAATTTTTGACCCTGCCCCTCCTGGGAAGAGAAAAGTTGTTGTTGCTACTAATATTGCTGAAGCTTCTTTGACAATTGATGGTATATATTATGTTATTGATCCTGGATTTGCAAAGCAAAATGTCTACAATCCAAAACAAGGACTTGATTCACTGGTTATTACCCCAATTTCACAAGCATCAGCAAAGCAACGAGCAGGGCTTGCTGGACGAACCGGACCTGGGAAGTGTTACCGTCTGTTTACTGAGAGTGCATTCCACAGTGAAATGTCCCCTACTGCCATTCCCGAAATCCAAAGGATAAATCTTGGGAACACGGTTCTTATGATGAAAGCAATGGGTATTAATGATCTTCTGTCGTTTGATTTCATGGACCCACCTTCCCCTCAGGCTCTCGTATCTGCCATGGAGCAACTTTACACTCTTGGAGCACTCGATGAGGAGGGGCTCCTGACGAAGCTGGGAAGAAAAATGGCGGAATTTCCATTAGATCCTCCTTTGCCCAAGATGCTTCTTGCTAGTGTGGACCTTGGCTGTAGTGATGAGATCTTGACCATAATTGCTATGATTCAAACCGGAAACATCTTTTACCGACCAAGGGAAAAACAAGCACAGGCCGATCAGAAAAGGGCCAAATTTTTTCAGCCTGAGGGTGATCATCTTACCTTGCTTGCTGTTTATGAGGCTTGGAAAGCCAAAAACTTTTCAGGTCCATGGTGTTTTGAAAATTTTGTCCAGTCTCGATCTCTTAGGAGGGCGCAGGATGTTAGAAAACAGCTGCTCTCCATCATGGACAGGTATAAATTGGATGTTGTGAGTGCTGGAAAGAATTTCACAAAGATCCGGAAGGCTATTGCTGCAGGTTTCTTTTTTCATGCTGCTAGAAAGGATCCTCAAGAGGGTTACAGAACTCTAGTTGAGAACCAGCCAGTTTACATTCATCCTAGCAGTGCTCTTTTCCAGAGACAGCCAGACTGGGTTATTTATCATGAGCTTGTTATGACAACAAAGGAGTACATGCGTGAAGTGACTGTGGTTGATCCTAAATGGCTTGTCGAGTTGGCACCAAGATTCTTCAAAGTGGCTGATTCAACGAAATTAAGCAAGCGCAAGAGACAGGAACGTATTGAGCCTCTTTATGATAGATGTCATGAGCCAAACTCATGGCGATTGAGTAAGAGGAGAGCGTGCTTCTTTTTTTTTTTTCTCTTTTTTTTTTGTTCTGTGTTAGTTCAATCATCAATGAAATGCCCGCTGTTTGTTATTGTAAAGCGACATATATTTGGTCAATCTAAAGCAATTTGTCAATTGGAGCACTTCTTTCATGTAAGCTTTTTCCCGATTTGACCTGTTATAGTTTTCACTCAAGTGGGCTCGATAAAAGTCTCTCAAAAGTGGTTAAAACCTCTCAGTTATGTGCTTTTGCAAGGGAAATAACTCTTGAATTGAACTTCAATTTTTTCGTGTTCTAAGGATGGATTGTTGGAATGACCCTTGAACTACTTTTTGACAGTAGGGGGAATATTATTACCATATAGAAATAGAAAAAAGAGATTTTTATTGTCCTCACATGGCAGTTTTGACATTTTGATCTGAAGGTCTTTCTTTCGCTTATGTCTAGACCTTTAGGTTCATTTCTCTCTTATGTTTATGTAGATCAAGCTATTTTTGAAGCGCTTTTTGGTAATGCATGTATTGGGCCTTTTCTCTACTCATCCATTCTCTTTGTTTTCTCTCTCTGCCTCTCTCATTCCCTGGGAGGACAGTGTAATCGCATCAGTGAAATCACCAAAGGAGATCAGAAAGCACATATTGTCAAATTCATATCTGTTTGTGCTTCACAGAGGTAAGCATGTGAATGCAATGTTTCGGACCTCTCTCATCTAGCTTGAAGAATGCTATGAGGTCATCTATTTAAGAAAGAATTTTGCTCTGCATTGAGAATTTACTAAGATTTGGTTGATTCATCTACTTTTTATTGTTATAGCAAAAGAGAAAAGGGGTGGGGGGTGGGGGTGGGGATATTAAGCTAATGTTTAATGTGTCCTAAACGATCCTAAAGTTCCTGGGAATTGATAACTTTGTCTTCTTGGTGGTATTCTTCCGTTTTCCGTTAAATAATTTGGCATTTCTTTTGTAAGATAGTACTACAATTTTGATCTAGAGGTTGTCTTGAGGGTTTGGTTAGGGATCCATAAGATCCCGAGTTAAGGGATGAGACTGAGCAGATGATGTGAAAATGGTGAGCATTCTATTGGTTATGCTTGAGTTTCTTTCTTTAGTTTACCTCTACTTTTGGGGATCTATTTTCTTTAGACAATGGTACTAAATCTCTATGGTGAGCGTTAATTGTCTGTTGTTTTTTCAAAAAAAAGATCTTCGCTTTCTACTTGACCAGTTAATTATATAAAGTACCATTGTTCGCGAATTTTTTTTAAGTCAAAAGTAAGAGCAAATTTTGTGTGGAGTAGCTTTTGACATGTCATTTCTTTTCTATAGATTTCCTTGATAAACTTTAGTTTCACAAGCCATAAATCTTCTGTTTGAGTTGTTGGAGGAATCCAATAAATATTCAAGAATTTTATGGATGCTCTTTCTTTGACAATGGTATAATACATCAGCTAGAATGTGTGAGAATGCACGGGAGAAACTATTATTGATTAATTTTGACAATGATACAATGAGCCCTATATATATAATACATGTCCTACTCCTAATACATATGGGATTAGGGTTATTTACTACTATTTAACTATCAAACTAACACTCCCCCTCAAGCTGGTGCATATAAATCATATGTACCGAGCTTGTTACATATATAACTAATACAAGGACCAGTGAGAGACTTGGTGAAAATATCAGCAAGCTGATCATTCGACTTCACAAATTTTGTAGCAATATCTTCCGAGAGTATCTTTTCTCTAACAAAGTGACAGTCAATCTCGATGTATTTAGTTCTCTCATGGAACACTGGATTTGACGCAATATGAAGAGCAGCTTGATTATCACATACAAGTCCAATCTGACTAATCTCACCAAATTTCAACTCCTTGAGCAACTGTTTGATCCAAATTAGCTCGCATGTGGCCATAGTCATTGCTCTATATTCTGCTTCTGCACTAGACCGAGTGACCACATTCTGTTTCTTGCTCTTCCAAGACACCAAATTTCCTCCTACTAAGACACAATATCCAGACGTAGAACGTCTATCAGAAGGTGATCCTGCCCAATCAGCATTTGAGTATCCAAGGATCTGCTCATGGCCTCGATCCTCAAACAATAAGCCTTTGCCTGGAGGTGATTTTATATACTGAAGAATGCGGACAACTGCATCCCAATGACTATCACAGGGAGAATCCATAAACTGACTCACAACACTCACAGGAAAGGAAATGTCAGCTCTAGTCACTGTGAGGTAATTTAATTTACCAACCAACCGCCTATATCTTGCAGGATCACTAAGAGGCTCCCCCTGTCCTGACAGAAGTTTAGAATTCGGATCCATCGGAGTGTCAACTGGTCTACAACCTGTCATTCCTGTCTCCTCAAGAATATCTAATGCATAATTCCGTTGTGAGATCACAATACCTGAGCTAGACTGAGCGACCTCAATACCCAGAAAATATTTTAATTTGCCCAGATCCTTAGTCTGAAAGTGCTGAAAGAGATGTTGCTTCAACTTACTAATACCATCTTGATCATTGCCGGTAATAACAATATCGTCAACATAAACGACCAGATAAATACAGAGATTTGAAGCAGAATGTCGATAAAATACAGAGTGATCAGCTTCACTACGAGTCATGCCAAACTCCTGAATAACTGTGCTGAACTTACCAAACCAGGCTCGAGGAGACTGCTTTAGACCATAGAGGGACCGGCCAACCGACATACAAGGCCACTAGACTCCCCCTGAGCAACAAAACCAGGTGGTTGCTCCATATAAACCTCATCCTCAAGGTCACCGTGAAGAAAAACATTCTTAATGTCCAACTGATAGAGAGGTCAATGGCGAACAGCAGCCATGGATAGAAAATGGCGGACTGATGCAATTTTAGCCACGGGAGAGAAAGTATCACTGAAATCGAGTCCAAATATCTGAGTATATCCTTTGAAATGTGAACTTGCTATCATTTTGGGAATTGGTGAGGAAAAAGGACCAGAACGCTTTAAATGTGACCCTGCTGGTGGTTTTTGTGGTCATAAGTTATTTTCTGAGCTTAATTTCCTTTTCAAGGTAAAAACTGTTTTAAATTTGTTCTTGTTTATAACTAGCTATGTGGTTTACTGCCTTTCACTATCCTGGTTCATGAAGTTAACTGTGGCTGTTGCCCCTCGCCATTGTATCCTTATCAACTTCATTCATGTATAAATGCATGCCAGACTAAGAAAATGGATAAGTTAAGATTTTCAAGCATAAATGTAGTTCTTTGCTATATCATCTATTTTATTACACAAATCTCAAATTTGGAAGGTTGCCTTATCTTTTAGATCCTAATTGATTATGATGCAAGTTGGTCAAGATTGGACCCTTTGACTCTGTTACAATCTGATCTATTGTGAAGTTATTGTAAGTACATCTTAGGCTTTGTTTGTTTAGACTGGAGTAGCTACACTAGAACCAATAACTCCTTTGAAAAGAAAAGAAAATTTGAAATTGTTTTTTCCCTTTCAATATATTTACTTTGACATTGACATTTATGTTAACAGGTTATACTAGATAATGAGGATTATTAATTGTTATTTCCTCTTAGTTGTAGCTGTAGATCTCTCTCTATATATACACACACACAAAATATATATATATATATATATATATATATATATGTTTTGCTGTTGTTATTGTTAAGTGGTTCTCATCCTCTATTTTTAGGTGGGAAAAATCCTGATAGGGAGCACTTCCCTCTATGATGGGCCTTGAGCAATACGAATCCGGATTAGTTGAAGCTCTAATGCGGGTACAAAACAACGGTTGGAAATCAAAAAAGAAAAAAGACCCTCTTATGTTTAGGTGAATTTTTGTTTTTTTGGTTGTATGCGCTTGATCTCCTGGGTGTTCGAGTAATGCCTTTTCCTCTTTGTTTTTGTTCACTCTTTCCATTCACTATTATGTCGTGAGTAGTTCTTAATTTCTTATACTCATAGTAATGTTAGCCTGATTGAAATTTCAAATGTAACGCGGTCTTATGTGGGCAGAGATTGCACAACTATGCTGTCGAATTCGTCTGCACCAACAGAGAATTGTTCACTTACCCTGACTTCAAGTTTATCTTAAGACAACTCTGTTCCTAGAACAATGCCTTGTGACTATTTTGGTACGACAAGAAGTTGTAATCCAGATACAAATATACTTTGTTGCAAAACCATTCAATATGCTTCCCTTGCTGCCAAAACTTCAAGTACAATTGAGTTTACAACAATAGACATAAGCTAGTTGCACTGTTTTGCTGCTACAATTCTAAGCTAGCGTTTGGCCATAGATCCCAAATTTATTTTGAAAAATCTGATTTGGGTGAAGTTTGGTTTGAAGATGAAAATGTATTTGGACATACGTTTTCAAAACATATTTTCCAACTTTATTTTGGAAAAACATGTATATAATTCCCAAGTTTTGGGATTTTGGCCCAAAATCAGCTCAATAGCTGAATTTGAGATTTGTAATTTGGCCAAAATATGGGCAAAATTTATGGCGAAACATGAGTTTTGGAAATAAGTTTCAAATTTATTTTGACAAAACTCATGGCCAAACGGGGCCTAAGAGTAGCCAAAATTTATTTAAAATCCAATCTTGCATTCTCTTTTTGGGACTTGCACTATCCTTGTTTATGACAAATGCACCAGCTTAGCAGTATGCTTTGAGCAAGAATGAATTCAATTTTTTGTATACACAAAAAAAGGGTAGCCTGGTGCACTAAGCTCCCGCTATGGTGCACTAAGCTCCCGCTATGCGCAGGGTCTGGGGAAGGGCCGGACCATAAAGGATCTATTGTATGCAGACTTACCCTGCATTTCCGCAAGAGACTGTTTCCACGGTTCGAACCCATGACCTCCTCCTGACCACATGGCAGCAACTTTACCAGTTTTTGTATACACTAACAAAATCTCAAAACAGATGATTGCACAGTTGCTAGAACTGTTTCCTGCTACCAAGAGACAAGGCCTTCTTCAACAGTGCTTCGCGCCCAGGAAAAGGACTTCCATTATTTGATACAGAATGGTCTTTGTTGATTGTATTATAATCAGTATGATTCTCAGGATTCTGTAAATTTCTTGTTCTTTCTGTCATAGTTGAAGATTGCAACCGCGAGCCAGAATCGTTCTTTCTCCTCTGTAACCTTATCCGTTCCCGTCTTCTCTCCCTAGTGTCTTTTTCACCTTCTCCAGTTTCACTACTATCAACTTCAGCAGTCCCTTTTAAATTGGTGTAATCAGAAAGTCTTGGTATTCGACCGCCTTTGGATGTACCAAGTAATTCATAATCAATTTTGCTCCAACCAAGCTTGTCTTCATTGTCCCAACCAAATCTAGTGCTGATTTCCAGCAACTCAGAAACTGCACTCTGCGTGCTTGCTGAAACGTCGCCGTTCAGGAGATTCTGAGCAAACTCCCACTCAATTCGGTCTTTATACACAGAGTCAGAAAGGACTTCATCTGCGAGCTTGGCCCACTCTTCAAAATCACGAGCTCGGAGATTTTTGGAAACCCATTTGAGGTATTTAGATGGGAGTGTTCCCAGCATTTTACCTTTGTATTTTCCAAAATCTATGACTCTGTCTCGTGCTGGAATTTGTATGGGACCTGTTGCTCTTGAACTAAAGCTCCTCCTCAAGGTCAAAGACTGTGAAGAAGGGGGGAAAGAAGAATAGGAACCTATCTGAAAACGTGAAATTGTAGGGGAAGAGACATTGAGTGAGCACTGTGGAATTGGATGAAGATGAAGAAGATTCATGTCTGAGTGGAAGATGTTGGAGTTGAAAAAAAATCCAGATTTGGACTGGAGATACGCAGCAGACCTCTACACAATGTTTCAATCTAATCAAAAGTGGATAATATTTTTTTTTTTTTTTTTTGGGTGTGCTAATTGCTAACTGATACTATTATTATTGGGAAGAAAATATGACTCTATACTCTAGAGTAAGAAATGATATGTTAAAAAGTAAAATGTATAAATCTTTTGGTAGGGTGTTTATAAAAACCCGAAAATCCGAACCCAACCCGAAAACTAAACCAAACCGACCAAAAAATCAATACTTTTTTTGTTTGGTTTGGTTTTGGTTTTGAATTTTAAAAATCGATCAAATTTGGTATGGTTTTAGTTTTAATCAGAAAAAAATTAAAAAAAAATCCGAACCAAACCGACTATAGGAGTAGCTATTTCAAATTTATTATTACGCCTATATATATGTATATTTTTATACAAAGTTTCAAAAACTTAATGGTAAATGTTGATAGTTTGCACTTTTAGTATAGTTCTTTACCTTTACATTCTAGTTTGATTGGTAGTTTTCTTTTGTTAAGTGTATGAATCCATTTCGTGTTAAAAATAATATATTTATATTTGAGTCCTTAAATTATTCATCACTATTTGATTCAGTTATCATTAATATATCTTGGTAAATAATAGATTTCTCAAAGGGCAATTGATTTGACAGTGTTACGTTGAAAATGTGGTCGCCGGAATATGTGTTTGGCAGTGTATGTCTTATATTTAAGAAAAAACATGCAAATAACTGAAAAAAACGAAAACCGACAAAATCCGAGTTGAGAAAAACCGACTTAATTGGTTTGGTTTGATTCTTATATTTGAAAAATCGACTTACTTGGTTTGGTTTCTTTTTAGGAAAAAATCGATCCAAACCGACCCGTGAACACCCCTATCTTTTGGGTATTATCATTTTTAGCCCGCGCCAGAAACTATTTATATTTGGTAGCAGAAAAAGTATATATAACTTGTATAATTTATGTACAGAATATATATATATACAAAAAAATATATAAATTTTATATTTCGAATTTTATATATATTTTTTCGGCTATACAATGCCATTTTTCTAAATTTTTTCTAACTTTAAGTGTAGTACTGGTAGTACCAACTTTTATTTTACTCTTATGACATGGAATGATCAATAAATTGATATAAAACTTATTTAATCAAACTTTTCTTTTCTCTTTCAGTGCAACCAATACTGGATTGAAATAAGTGCCGTCGCCAATTAGTAGGCGTTTGGACATAAGAATTGTAAAATTTCTAAAAATGGTTAAAAAAATTTTAAGCGAATATGGTATTTGAAATTTAGAATTGTGTTTGGACATAAATTTTAGTTTGGGTTATTTTTGAAGTTTTGTGAGTGATTTAAGTGAAAATTTTGAAAAACAGCTTTTTGAATTTTTTCAAATTTCTAAAATACATCTTCAAATGAAAAATTGAAATTGTACGAACAAACGCTGATTTAAAAAGAAAAGAAGTAATTTTTTTTTGGAAAAAGTAAAAAAAATTGTATGTCCAAACGGGCTCTTAGTTTAATGAAAAGAGGCAATTCTCAAAACAAGTGAAAAAGATTAACTTCAAGTTGATTTATCACATCACTCAAATAGTTATTAATTCCTGTTATTTCTTCTATTTCAAAACCTCAATGTATTTGGAGGTTTTCAAATTAAGCAATGTTGTCAAAAATATAACTAGTTGAATACATTTAAACTTTGTATAGAACCAATTGCATTGCACCAGCAATTCCAACTCCTCCTACCTAAATAAAACCTAATATAGGAGTGTCATTTTTCTTTAAGTGATTAAAATTTCCAAATTTCACTTCGGGGACAAAATTAGTTGAAATTTCCAAATAGAAAACAACGAGGACCAAAACAGAAAAAAGTATAAGGAATGAGGACCTTTACGTAATTTTGACCTTCATCTCAAGCTCCATCTCTTTTGTCTGATTCAGTGACTGCAGTCACTAGTAGTAGCAACCAATATTGTCCAGACCCAGGTATGAACCAAAAATTTGCTTTCGTCCTCTTTTGACTTTTATTCTGTGTATAATCCAATCAGATTCAATAAAATCAATATGGCAATTTTAGCGTACAATTTCAATGTTGTATCCCCGAATTTTGTCCTTAAAAAAAGACCTCTTTTTTCAGAATTTCCTCTTCCACAGGTGCGCGTCAATCTTTCACGCAGGCGCAACATCACATTCAGAGTTGCTTTTAATATGGCACAAAACCCAGGTGACAATTTTTAGCTTGCTTTTATTGGAAAAAAAAAAAAACAGAATTACAATATGAAGAAAAATGCATATTTATGATAGTTTTCGAGTTCCATTACATATGATCTATAATTACTACGGAAAAAGTGGCCCTTTGTTTGCAAACAGCTCTATGCTGTTGTCAGTAGCTAAGTGTTCAAAATTTGAACACACTTTGCCAGTGGGTTATGCAAGGGAGTTCAAAGTGTATTTTTGTTTATCAATAACAAGTACTACTAATATTTTATTTAATAAGTATAATTTTTCGGCGAACGGCGAAGGGTGTTCAGTTTACCTCCCTTGACCACGCTGTGCCTCTGACTGTTGTGTTGTAGCTAGTGCAGAATTATCTGCAGCAAACATAAACCGAGTTTTTTTTTTGACAATTTTTGGTGAAAGCTTAAATACTCCTCTTTGTTTTCAATATGAAAGCTCTGATGCCAGCTAAAAGTGCTAAAATATATTCATCAATTCGCTTATATCGGTGAAAGAGGCAATGTTGACAGAGGCGGATCCAGGATTTTAAGTTATGGGTTCCTGTCGCAATTTCAAATTAATATATAATAATAACTGGGTTCCCAAATAGATATTTATAGATATTTTATAATTTTTTAAACAAAAATATAGAGTGTACGCAAAAGTTACTGGGTTCCCGGGAACCCGTAAACTACACACTAGATCCGCCCCTGAATGTTGATTCCTTGACAACTAATAATATATGTTGTGACGTTCTTCTGTCTATTTACTGATGCACGTGTCCTGATGTTCAGCAGCTGTGCAGAAGAAAATTACAGTGCTTAACCAACACAATGAGAAACTAGTTGGTGTGTTGCATGATACTGGATCGGTGGAGATCGTGGTTTTGTGTCATGGATTCAGATCCTCAAAGGTTTGAACCATTCCCGTTCTACTATGTTTCTTGTGCTACATTAGCTGTTATATTGTGCCCTTGAATTTTCTACTATCTGTATTGGTGGTATTCCATGTTGACTTGACCCTGAATAGGGTTTCTTGATATCAATGTTTAGGCTCTTTTTGAGGAAAGTAGATCTAGTTTGAGCTATGCCCTTGGAAAGGCACATTGGGTTATACCAGTCGAGCATCAGAATTTGGCTACTGCTCAACCTTATGTAGATTGCGCAACATCTAGTCATGCAAAGGAATATGAGTGGTAGTTTGAGAATCACTTGTGTCAATATGATGCAACTGTGCAGATTCACCTACCACTCTGTCAAGCAAATAGTTATGACTATATTTTTAAGTGATGCTCTAGATAACTATAGAAAAGTTACAACTTTGATTTCTTTCTCAACCAAAAAAAAAATAAAAAAATTAACAACTTTGATTTGGCTATATCTAGAATGGAACTCTGAACTATTAGCAAATTTCTTATTTGACTTTTCGGGACTGAATAAAATTGAAGTCAAATGTTATATATGGTCAGTATAGATCTATTGATGGACAGTATGGAGGAAAGTATCCTTAAGTTCATGATTGAAGCAATTACTGGCTCATTGGCTATCTCGCATGATTTGACTAGATAAAATTTTTGGTTGACATCAGATGATTGTTTTCTCCATTCTTATTTATTAGTATATATGTAGTCTGATTGATTGTGGGAGAGTTGCAGATGAAGCATCTAACTTTTTCATTGTGTTTCTGTTGATAGGACTTCTACACTATATTGAACCTTGCTGTTGCTATGGAGAAAGAAGGAATCAGTGTATTTCGCTTTGATTTTCCTGGAAATGGGTAAGCCCTTGGTATTAAAAGGACAATCTATATTGTTCGGGCAATGTCTAGATAAAGGGGTAGCTTTTTTATTTATTATTCTGAATGCTCTGTAGGCAGACTATTGTTATTGGTGCTTGTGGAGATAGTAAAGTACTGTGCAATACAGACCTAACTAGAGGTCAATGCAATGGGTCAAAGAGCAAGATTTTACATCATTACTCTTCCATAATTCTCATTGATTAACTTTCTCTCTCATCATCTTAGCTTTCAGAAATATGTAGTCCGAAATTTCTGTTTGCAATGGCTAACATTAGTTCTTTCACAATTCTTGGTTCTACATTATCAACTATTTTCTAGTGAAAGCGAAGGTTCATTTCAGTATGGTAACTACCGTAGAGAGGCGGATGACTTGCATTCTGTGGTTGAATATTTCAATGGAGCAAACCGCAAAGTAACAGCAGTCCTTGGACATAGTAAAGGTGTGTCAAATTTTGCCAAGAGTTGTATAATATTGAGAGTAATTTTGCGCACTATGGTGAAGAAAAAGGTTTTGCACGAGAAACTATTGTGATTTAGGTTCTTTTCTTTTCTTTGTGTGTTCTCTGGGTGTGATAATATTACCTTTTGATATCAGACATGCATCTTTCTTCTCCCACATAATCACATTATGGCTCTTCCTTCATGAAATCCATTAAGGTGTAACTGCAAAATCAAAGTTCAAGAAGAAAGAAAAGGGAAGAAGCATTCTCAAGGTGCTAAAGTATTAATTTTCAAATTAGCTGTCCCGAGAACAGAACGAAAACTTTTTAATAACGATGGTGTCTAGGTCAGCGTGCGTGCACCTTGACTATTCCACCGGGTACCTGCTACTGGGTAACTCTACCCACCAAGGTTTGGGCAGATGAGAAGAAGAGAGCAGACAAAGAACTAGGTTATATATTCATTGCTAGGGCCATACATTTTCCAGAAATATCAGCTGTGAGAACTCCTTTGGATGAATTCCCTGCTCCTAACCCACATGCCACAAGGGTAAAAGGTCAAGCAAGGACTTATATACTTAAGGTTTGACTAAAAAGTTTCTACTTTTCTATTATATAGAAAAGGAAAGATGGTCGACCAAGGGCATATATGTCATTTCAAAAAAATTCTTACATTGTTTTCATTCATTAAATGCAAATTGTATCCTCCTTGATACACGTGGACCCTACATTCCCTTAACCACAACATTCCTTTAAAAGTTTAAATGCATTGTTAAAAGACTACTTTTGCAGGGAGTTACTCTATGCAAATACTCTCGAACGTTTTTTTCTCATTTGATAAAATTATTCATTTTTGTTTTATTCAACTAAAAGTTTTCACAGAAAAAGTCATTTACGTTTTAATTAATAAAGTAACAAAAAGAAGTATCGATAAATATTTACAAGATTTTCATATTTATCCATACTATTTTAACACAATTTAAAAAATAAAATTAAAAGGTTTTCATGTATCCACACTTTCAAACTATAAATTTTTATATTCAAAAGTAATTTTAGAAAGTATAGTTTGCTAAATCTTAAAAGTTGATTTAAGTGATGAAATTTGTTCACCTGATCTAGGAGGCTATCTCTTATATGCTTAATTGATGTGAAAATTTAATTTATATGGTTTGAACTCCATTCTTCATGACAAGTTTTCAACTATCTATAAATTGTCTTAAAATCTTATTTGTTATAATTTTGTACTATTTCATTATAAAAATTAACATATGATAAATCTATAGAAAAAATAAAAACATTTCTCTTATCTCCTTAATTAAGAAAAAAAATAAAACCCCTATAACTTATATAGACTTCTATCAGATATTTATTATCTTATCATTTTAAAGAGTTATAATAAAATATAATTTGAACTACTATATTGAATTACTACCATTAATATCATGTTAGTATTTGTTTAATGTAGTTGGTTCTCTTTGTTGGAAGTAGTAAATTGCATCTTATGTATGCAAGTCCCCTTGGAAGTTCTCTTTGTATATTGTACTAAAAATTCTCTTGATTTTGTTATATACAAGACATAAAGTAAAATCATAAGTTTTTTTTCAACTTTTATCGTATTGTAAAGAATAATGTTGTTCGTTTTAACTTTCATGAAGTAGTTGATTGTTTCCACTGTTGAAACACTTGCAAGACCAGTTTGGATGTATTCAAAATTAGTTTACAAATAGATTGGTAAGCTTTTTATTCTAGAAAATTTGTTAATATAAATTACACTTGTAGCTTTAATGCATTCTCTCGTTAAATATTCAAATACAATGGAAAAATAATACCATTCAAATTAATTTTCAATTTGATGTTTATTTGACACGGATGTTAAAATGAGTATTATAGCACCTATACTTGTGCCGCTTTGTCATCCCGGTCCTTGTATTCAATAATGTTTCATCCAGACACCTGAACTCAGTTAAAGCATGTATTTTAAACCCCTCTGACCGTTGACTGAGCTTATGTCATTCATTTGGCTGAGTCAGAAAAATGCGTGGTTACACGCTCTAAAAAGGAGAGTGGATATACTTATTTTGATATAAAAATATTAAAAATAATAAAGAATAACTATTAAAAAGAAAAAGAGTAAATTAATTTTCCAATCCAAGTATCTCTACCCGTTTCCCAACCTTCGGCCTTATTTCACCCCGTTTCTCCCCGTCTTCTTCTCCCCCCTATTTCCTATCATAACCCCGTTTTCCCTGGCCTTATGAATATCTATTTATTTGCTTTTGCGCTTAGTAAATCCAAAAGGGGAATTCTTAGCCACACTTCATCTTCACACTTGAAAGTTTTGGGGGATTGTTCAATGGGTAAAAACAATATATGTCTTCTTCTCCCTTTTCAGCAACCAAAATTCTAAATCTTTTTCAACTTACTGTAACCAATACATAAAAAAAATACAATCTTTATAGATAATTTTGAACATAAATTTGGAAAAAAACAATTGAATCGAAATGAAAATTTTGGAGAAGAAGACTTAAAATTTTGTGCGGATGGTTTGTATGAGATGAAATCTGAATTGGAGGTTTCTCTCTTCTGTCCCTTTGATTGGTGACCACCAGTGATTCCCAACAAGTGTTTCTTGATTCAGTGAAATTTTGGGGTACGGAAATAGATGCTTTCTACTTGGGATTTGTTTCAGTCGACGAGAAAGAAATGAAAGATGAGAGAAGTAAGAACAGTGGAGAGGAGTTGGAGGCGATGTGTCGTCGGTGACCCTTTCCGATATACTCCGCTAGTGGTGTAGCAGCTGTCTCAGGCGATGAAAGTTTTCTTTTGTCGTTTCTGAGTCAATAGATAGAAGAGAGCAAGTAAAAGGTTACTGGTGTGGTGTTAGATTTGGCAAGGTGAGCTCTTCCGCTGAGATTTCCGGTGAGAGATTTTGGGGTGGAGACATCAACGAGAAAGAAGGGAACGATGTGCAAATATTTCTATTTTTTTTCTTTTTTTCATGCTTATTTTGGTCTCCTTTCAATCTAAAAGGTGCACTTTTCTGAACTTTATACTCCAAAAAGAAGAGGGTTTTTTCCTGATTTTCCCAATTACTTTTTCCCTTAGGTGTATTAAATCCATGATGTGGCATTGATTTATCTAATGTGGACATGATATTTTCTCCACATCAGGCGAGTGACCAACACGTAACGCCAAAGGGGTTTAAAATACATGTTTTAACTGAGTTCAGGTATCTGGATGAAACTTTATTGAATACAAGGACCGGAATGACAAAGTGGTACAAGTATAAGTGCCATTTAGGCTATTCTGCCTTCATATTATAATCTTGACTGTTTAAATTGAGAAAACTACCCAGCTGATCCAAAGCCAATGAAGACAAGTTCTAGCAACCATCATATTTTTCCTTGAGCAAAACTTCCACTGAGATTCATATGCAGAAAATCTGGGCTTTCGTACACATATGTACACACAAATTTGCGAGATGCAAAATTCAACCGCCATAACCATAAGAATTGCAACAATCTTCGCTCATGGAATCTTTATCACCATATTGTCCTGATTCTAGCAAATTGACCTACCAAAACACCCAAGTTATTGCGTTAGAACTGATGGTGATTTTTCCCAAAAAAATAAAAAGGACAAGAAATGATCATATGAATTAGACAAAAAGTAAGGAAAATGAAACTTACCTTAATGATGTCTCGTCTTGAACTGGGCCGCACATAGGATGCCAAGACAGCCATGTGAAAATGCTGTTTTTATGCAAAAAATTATAAAAATAAAAATAGAAAAAGCTTAGTTTCATAATGAAGAATACATATATAGTCATCATATTTCTTAGTTTTTTTCTTTTTCTTTCCTTTACTTTTCTTTTTATCGGGGGTGGAGGTCCGTTTTTGTTTCTCTTCTCTTTTCTCCTTATGTTTGTTTATGAATAATGCACCTATGACACAGACTTTCATACAAATGCAAGGAGCGGCACTTGGAATTTGCATAATAAAATCTAGTTTCAATTCATAGACAATGTGACGAAATAAATAGAGGCTAAGGCAGCAAATGAAGATCAGCTAATTTACTGCCATGAATTGGAGCTTACTCTGAAAGGATCACTTCTCAAGGACTGCACCAATATTGGACTCTCCAATGCCCTGTCCTGGATATAAAGAAACGAAGCAAAAGCCTCACTACGGCAGCCAACATCTCATGTATTAAAGATATCAAATATTCTGAAACATCTTTAGTTATACAAAACAACAAATATTTGGTCCCCGAGTTTGGAAAAGAGAAAACTGATAAAATAGTTCTTGGGCTTTTTTTACCTCCAAATAATAGTCCCTCAATCGCCTCCCTGTTTGAGCACAACAAATGCGAACAATTGATTCATCACTGCTTCCACTAATAACATAGTCCCTCCCATTCATGTAATATGATCGTGTATAATTATGAGCGCTCCCTGTGGAAGCTATACCGAAATCTGTCTGCAGCCTCCCATCTACAGACAAAAGTTGTTTCACCTGTACCATAAAGATAGTATAAACCTCAATCATGAAGTCATCTACAACATACTAGTAGTTATAGCCACACATAAAGATACCGAATTCATATAGTTGGGATTTTGTATACCAAAATTATTGCTTTTGAATGTCTAAAAACTAATCAGAAGCCACAAAGCAGACATTTAACTTGTTATTTCAATAGTAAGGAAATTTGGTAAATCATCAAATGAGATGTTTAATATGTTGCATTGATCAAGGTACCTCGTTGTCTACAGCCGATACCAGTAGATAAAGGTCGTCTGGGGAGAAGCAAACCATCACGTTTCCCCTTGAGCTCGAGGCTGTATAACAGGGGTGATTTGGCGTCTGCCTCAAATCCCACAATTTGACATCACGATCAAATGATGAAGTAGCAAGCAGGTTTGGAGAGTGATGTGCAAATTTAGCCACGTTAATGGGTTCTTGATGCATATCACTGAACAATGTAAGCGCTTGCCAACTCAAATATCGTAATNTGGCAACTTTCTTGAATACCACTCGTAACAAACTGATCATCCGTGAATTACATGAAGTGAAGTCAACTNTATCTATTTATTTGCTTTTGCGCTTAGTAAATCCAAAAGGGGAATTCTTAGCCACACTTCATCTTCACACTTGAAATTTTGGGGGATTGTTCAATGGGTAAAAACAATAAAAATTTATGTCTTCTTCTCCCTTTTCAGCAACCAAAATTCTAAATCTTTTTCAACTTACTGTAACCAATACATAAAAAAAAAATACAATCTTTATAGATAATTTTGAACATAAATTTGGAAAAAAACAATTGAATCGAAATGAAAATTTTGGAGAAGAAGACTTAAAATTTTGTGCGGATGGTTTGTATGAGATGAAATCTGAAGTAGAGGTTTCTCTCTTCTGTCCCTTTGATTGGTGACCACCAGTGATTCCCAACAAGTGTTTCTTGATTCAGTGAAATTTTGGGGTACGAAAATAGATGCTTTCTACTTGGGATTTGTTTCAGTCGACGAGAAAGAAATGAAAGATGAGAGAAGTAAGAACAGTGGAGAGGAGTTGGAGGCGATGTGTCGTCGGTGACCCTTTCCGATATACTACGCTAGTGGTGTAGCAGCTGTCTCAGGTGATGAAAGTTTTCTTTTGTTGTTTCTGAGTCAATAGATAGAAGAGAGCAAGTAAAAGGTTACTGGTGTGGTGTTAGATTTGGCAAGGTGAGCTTTTCCGGTGAGATTTCCGGCGAGAGATTTTGGGGTGGAGACATCAACGAGAAAGAAGGGAACGATGTGCAAATATTTCTATTTTTTTTTTCTTTTTTTCATGCTTAGTTTGGTCTCCTTTTCAATCTAAAAGGTGCACTTTTCTGAACTTTATATTCTAAAAAGAAGAGGGTTTTTTCCTGAATTTCCCAATTACTTTTTCCCTTAGGTGTATTAAATCCATGATGTGGCATTGATTTATCTAATGTGGACATGATATTTTCTCCACGTCAGGCGAGTGACCAACACGTAACGCCAGAGGGGTTTAAAATACATGTTTTAACTGAGTTCAGGTATCTGGATGAAACTTTATTGAATACAAGAACCAGGATGACAAAGTGGCACAAGTATAAGTGTCATTTAGGCTATTCTGCCTATGTTAATTGGAGCAACTTAAGCTGGTTATAATTTATAGTTTAATTTTTTGTAAATTATTAAAATAAATTAATTATAAATTGTGATCCCAATATCATTCTCTATCAGTTATGAATTGGATATAACAATGATCGATTTATTTATCAAAAAATTAACAGAGTAACAACAAACAACAATTTTAAGATTATAATGTTGGGCCCGTATACGGGCCTTTCTTCGTCTAGTAAATAAAATATAATACTAAGAGTTTGTCAACTCAATGCGAAGAATGAAAATTATCCCTGCAGACCAATTAAGGTAGGTCAACAATGATATACTTTACTTTGTGCTCTCGTCTTCCTCTGTAAATGACATTAAAATAAATATTTGCATTTGTCATGTTCTTGTTTGTTGAATAATTATCAGAAATGAACTGTTGCAGGAGGGGATGTTGTGCTTCTATATGCTTCTAAGTATCATGATGTTCACACAGTCGTCAATTTGTCTGGCCGTTATAATCTAGAGAAAGGCATTGCGGAGCGCTTGGGGGAGGACTTCCTAGAAATTATCAAGAAAGACGGCTTCATTGATGTTAAAAATAAAGCAGGTAATGACTTCTCAAAAGAAAAAAAAAAGCAGGCAATGAAAGTAAATCTGTATTCAGCTTACGCATACAAACTTTTTCCCCTTTTGCCAGTAGAGTGGAATTTGTTGTTTTCCTTATTTATATAGTTAGCTTTAATTCAGATTACCGAGAATATCTATCGGAGTCAAAAGGCACAATATCTATAGTTTCTTATCCCACTTTATGCAATTGTTTTCTTTACTTTTTTGACTAATAGTTGAGGAAACTAATAATGTAGATATCTACCCCCTTAGCCATGAGGCTTTGTAAATAGCTCTATTTCGTTATGGGATTTTGTAAGCTCGTTAAGTTTTTTATAGGAGGTATGAGTCAATTGTACAAGCGCTATTCTCAATTTTTGTATCTTGAATGCATCTACTAGATGCACGTGCAGTGAGATCCACGTTACCTGATCAAAAGAGCCATGAGACCTTGTATCTAGTATTACCTTGGTCTCTCTTTAGTTCTTGAGACCAAGATGCAGATGAACTACAATATTAGCTTAAACAGGGTAAGGCTCCAATGAGAAGTATTACCTCTTGCTCAATATGTTATATGGATGTTTAGGCTTCGATAACCATTTCCTTCCCCATCTATGTAGTAGGTTTTTGGACAATGAAAATGGACAGGGTTTTCTTTTTCTTTGGAGAACTGAAAATATGCTTCTCTGTTTGTAGGAGACGTTGATTACCGTGTTACCGAGGAAAGTTTAATGGATCGACTTCATACAAACATGCATGATGCATGCCTTCAAATTGACAAAGGATGCAGGTTCGATTGATGTTACTTCCATTATGTCAACACCTTCTCTTTGTTTTCGTTGCCATCTATCCAGGAAAAGGTAAAACGGACTCATCAGCAAAATTAAAAGTCAAAAGAAAAAAGAAAAGGAAAATAAAGCCACTGAAGAACTTTGTGCAGTTTCATTAGCACTCATGCAAATGGTTTTTCTTACAGTTAACTTCTATTTAATGCAACTTTAGAAAGGAAATAGTCAGAAAATTTTGCTCTCAACAGCAATATAACCTCTTCAAAGAAAAGATACTAGTAGAATACCTGTCTTCCTTTCAACAGAGTTGTTACACTCATGAACAATTAATCCATTTTAAGATGTTATATCAAAATTCTAGTTGCTCATCTACACCTATTTTTCTAGTTCTCAACTAAACAAAATAATGAGACGCATGATCTTTTGGGGAAGACGGAGATGTAGACGGAAATTTGGAAACACAGAAGAATGAGATCTGTTAAAATGTTGAACTTGAGAAGCCTGAAGCTGTCCTTTATGTTAAACTTATTATTTCTTTGTATGACCAAAATTTACTGCAGAAGTTCACATTTTTTTGTTCATGCAATTTTACGCTTTTTCTCGCATCCCCTTCCAGTCATTTTCTTACAGTATGGGGAGCAAATTCTGGGAAAAGAAAAGGTCTGCTTAAGCTTTAGAGTCGAGATGTTAGACCATGTTACCAAATAGGTGAAGTACTTTAGTTTGCAGAATGGAGACAATTTTGACGTTCACTACATTAAACGGAATGCAGTAAATAAACTATTGTAGATCGTATGGTCAATGGACGTTAAGAAACTATGATAAAGATAATTTCTGTAAGTTATAGAAACTCGGAGATTGAACATAGTAAAAAAATTAATAAATATATTTGAATTGCAATTTTATTGAATTGAGTTGAAAACTGATGGTGAAGGTTCTACCTCACAATTGAGATTGTTGTATGATGGCATTCTAACCTCACTGTCATCTCTGACTGTTGGCATTATATCTCTAGTCTAATTCTTTTCACCTTTAATACACCATTGACTCGATGTGATCTAAGGTACTAACTGCTGAAATTTCACTTGTACAGGGTATTAACAGTTCATGGGTCTGCGGATGAAATTATTCCTGTGGAAGATGCTTTGGAGTTCGATAAGGTCATACCAAACCACAAGTTACATATCATTGAAGGAGCCAATCATTGTTATACCTCACATCAAGCTGAGTTAACGCCTGTAATCTTGCCATTCATAAAGGAAGGTCTGCAGAAGAACTAGGATACTAGGCAGGTACTGTGGACACCACTATCGTCGAAATTCTTGGTTTTAGAGTAAATGTGGGAGCTGGCTGTTACAATCTAACTTGCACAAATGAAAGAAACTATTGGCAGGGTCTTAGCTGTACTTCTCGGAGCTTGGTTGGCATCGTATCGGGCTTTGCTACATGGGGAATTCTTCATGCACTTCATACTAGAGTGAAAATTCTGCATATTCAGTATGAGATAGACACATAACAAGACGAACATCTGTTGCGTTCTTAATGCATTTGGATTTGTATCTCGAGCTTGCAAAATAAAGGATTGTAAAATTGCAGAAGCCCACGTTTTAGCTTTTCTGTGTTGACAGGGTTTCTGAATTCAAATTGAGAACAATAATAATACTCGATTTGTTTTTTATGACAACATTTGATCGAACATATAGGTTAAGTTGTTAATTTGACTTCACATGTTGTTAGTGAAGATATTTAAGTTGTGGTTGAAAAGTTATTTTGATACACAAAACATCAGCCGAAGTTCAAAATTTAAATGGATTAATGAATTTTAATTTTTGGAATTTTATTGGAAAGTTAATATAAGATAGTACCGAATATTGTGAAACGTTTCAAAACGAGAAAATGCCGTATAAATTTAAACGTCAAAATAGCACGGTATAGCCAGTTTTCGGACTGGTCATTAAAAAATAGCCAGCGTTTACTAAGTCAATGAAAAATAGCCACTATTTTGCTGCAACAGAGACCGGTCCAGCATAATATATTGGAGTTCGGTGCACCTGTGTATGAACTCCAGCATATTATGCTGCACCGGTATACTTTGCTGGCTCCAGTATAATATACTGAAGACTGGAGCCCCGGTGCTCCAAACTCCAGTATATTATGCTGGACCGGTATACTTGCTGGAACTCCAGTATATTATGCTAGAGTTCTAGTGTACTTATGCTGGAACTCCATCATATTATGCTGGAGTTCCAGCATACTTATCCTGGAACTCGAATATAATATGCTGGAGTTCAAGTATACTTTTGCTGGAATTCCAGCATAATATACTGCATATTTTCCGGGGTTTTGAACAATGTTTTCGCTCAGATTTATCTTTACATTAAAAGTGGCTAAATTTCGATTTTGAAACTGGGCTATTTTTGAACGACCAGTCGTAAATCTGGCTATTTTTAAATTTCACCCAATTTAAACATAAGAACAACAATAACAATGTATTTTACTTTCAGGCTAAGAATGTTATAACATAAAAGTTGTTAGAAAAAGTAAAGAGTCCGACAATGTAGTTGTTACAGTTCTCACTTGAAACACAGAAATGAAACTGGTCAGTCTCGGTTTATTGTCATAGAACTTACTAGACAAGTTCACATTTCACCAAAAAATCCTTTTCTTTTTTGCGTGATAAGGATTTCACAAATAAATAGTTCATAGAAGGATGGTCTGCATTATGGTGCGCGTGAACCCATGGTCTTTCCGCTAAATTATGTGTTTTATGTATATATTTCCTAGAATTGATCTAATATTATTTGCTGGCCTCCATGCTCCGAAAAGGTTGAACGGTGCCCTTGATTGAATGTTGAGTTATTTACCCAAAGGAAGAGGGACCAATTCCCACTAAATCCTTTCTTTAGTAGTGCACCCATGCTCTAGAAATCCTAGATCCGCCTATGCCGATAACCCAACAATTCCAGTGACAAAAGGTAGCCTCAGTTGAGCGACACAACACCATCCTCAAAAGCATTTGGCTATTACTAGTTCTGATCTTTCTCGAAATTCTGCAAACGAATCAAAATTCAACAAAGGTAAAAATGATGAATTCAGACAATTCACATAGCAGACACCAGCTAGTCTGGGATTGATATGTGTATTGATACCACTGAAGTAGACCAAGTAATTGAATAGGGAACATTCATCACTAGGCTAATTTCATTCAGTTTGATGTCCTCAACTCCCAACTGAGTACAGCATAAATTCCAGCAAACCGGCAGTTTGGCTCATAACTGGACAGCTTCTTATGCTGTTATATTGTGTTTTTTCCAGTTTCACGAAAAAGAAAAAAGAGGGCTGAGGGGTGGGGAAGACCGCCAATTAGTGGTTTTGATCCTCCTTCTCAACCTCCTGCCGTTCCATTCTGGTTCCAGGGTATTGAATCAAGAAATATTTCCTACTCTACTTTTATAAAGAAGTTTCTAGAGTCTCCTCTTACCTCTTCCACGTCATCCTCATCATCAGATGGATCTAATCTCGAGTATAAGGTCTCCTCATCAATCTCCTCAACCATGTTCATATCTTCCTGTAGAATTTCCAGCAAAAGTAAATAAAAACGAAAGCAAGAGGTGATTTGCAAGTTGAACGATATGGAAAATATATTTCAAAAAAAAGAAGCAGGAATTTCATACTAGATCAGACTTCAAATTCTGAAGCTTATCCTGCAATTCTGTTATATGATGCTTTAGTGCCTGCAAAAATTTTCAGTAGACATCCGTAGGCGTAAGGTGATTAATCTCCAGATATCTGAGACATTGAGTTACATCTATCTGCGAAAGAAAATGACAATAATGAACATGTTACCTCACGTCTCTGAAGTTCAATTGAACGGGCCAATGCCTGCCTCTTAGTCAAAAGATTTTTGGGCCTGAATTCACTAGGACGCTGGTAATTTTTCCCACGATAGAGTATAATTGCGTAACCTTGGATAGTCTTGTCTATAGATACCAAAAGGCCACCACTTTCAGCCTCAAGGGTAACAGCAATGTGTTTTATTTGTGCTGCATTTCTCCTCTCTGCAATGATCTTTACTAGCTCCCGGTATTTCCAATGTAAATGTATGTTCTCTATAGTTCCATCAAAAACGTCTCGCCTCCCTGAACCGAAATGTGTTAAGTATGAGCTCTATCCCAAGAGGAACTATCGGATTGAGCAAGTAGCAAACCTTACCTAGAAGCAGAAAAGGTTTCATACTAAGACCCATCTTACGAAACAGAAACCTTTCCTCAGCAGATAATATTTCCAAATCAGTTGGCAGCTCAGATGGTTCCCGATTTTCCTGCAATTTCCTTAACAAATTTTCTGCCTTTTTGATCTTGCCTTTTGCCTGCAGACACCAATCCAACAATGATTCATTTGCACATTTGCGGCAGTATTTTCACCTTTATTTACAAGAACTTACATGGGCTAGCTTCTGTTCAAGATGCTTGACAAGAGAAGCGTGCCTTGCTACAGCAGCATCTCTCATCATTTTCTCCCTCTCTTCAATACTGGGTTGGTTTCCCCAGCGTGAAGTGGCTGCTATAGTTTCAGAAAGAGTTCCAGCAATCAATGGCCTTTTAGGAGCTTTAGTATCAGAATGAATAAGGGCTGCTGCTCTTTGCCGTGCTTGTTCTTCTTGATCCTGTAAGAAAGCACTTTTGCTCTCTGCTTCTACTAGGGCTTCCGTGACACGAGGTGGCAAGAAATCATTACCCCTGTAAAAGACAATATAGTCCTTATTCCTGGAGAGTAGCGTTCCTCCGGTCAATACCTATTGAATAACAAGGATCTATTGTCAGATTCATTAAACTTTCACTAATATTTTTTCTGAAGAAGAAAGAATGCCTGCGAATCAGGAAGCGAACTCGCAAACTCAACTGCAAATTTGACGGAACGGTTATGGAGTATACTCTACACCAGTACAGATTCCAAAAACAAAATCCAGAAACTGATAACTTGCAAAAGCAGCCAACAATGTAAAGGCTGGGATATCTAAGTGCCAGAATGAGGTGGAAGTTAAAAGAAAAAGCCGATGAAAATCTAACCTTTTGTCATAATCTTAGTTCTTAGTATACTTCTATCTTCTTTTCGTTCAGGCTAACACTTACTAATGCTGCGTGTACCTATCATGCAGTCTTAACTTTCTAAGAGTGTTTGTGGCGAGCTTTATCTGTTTACCTTAAGTTCTTCTGCCATTCTTTCATTGCTTGTATTTTGCACACCACGTTTTATGGCTATCTTTGCAATGGCACTTCTTCTCCATAGCTTCGCCATGGCCGCGGCTAAACCTTGCAGTTCTCTGTTCCTTCCTGAACAATGCAGACAACAGTTTAGAGGTCAATAAAGTTCAAACTTACCGATTTTCAAAAGAGGACAACAAAAACATTAGAAACCCTTTCCACATACCTAAAGCAAAATGAGGGGGCATAATTCTCGCAGTTCTACGTAGGTACGTCATTTCTTTGTTTTTAAGGTTAAGTTTAGCTCCATAAGGAAGACGCCGAAAAGGAGGTCTATAGCCAGGAACAACAGCAGGCAACAGATCAGCATCAACAGGCAGTGGTTCACGACCTGACCAATCTTTGAATCGTGGACCAACTTCATCTAGCAGCATGTTGAGCTCGCTTAAATCCATTATTTCTGCACCAGACAGATTACTGAAACCATTTCTCGGTCTTTCAGTAGCTTCATTTAAGGATTTGACTCCAAAGCTTTGACCGTTATCACTCTTTGAAGACTCTGATTCGTCAATATCATCGTTTCTTGCCGTAAAAGATTGTACACAAGGAAGCTTGTATGATATTCCTCTGTATAACACTATGGAACTGCCTGATCTCCAGATCACTAATCCTCCAGTTCTATGCTAACAATGGTCAAAGTATGACACACATAAGAATTCACAATATTACAATCTACACAGAAAACTGGAAAAATGTACTCCCTCCGTCCCATTTTATGTGGGGCACGGTGTTTAAGAAAGAAAGGAAGACTTTTGAAACCTGTGTCTAAAGAAAACCTTAGATTATTGTGCGGCTGTAAAACAATTCATTAAGGGCAAAGTAGAAATTCTAAAGATAAATTGTTTCTAAATAAGGAAAGATGACATTCTTTTTCGAAAAGGAAAGAGTGCCACATAAATTGGGACAGAGGGACTAACTGTGTGGATTGACAAGATATTAGAACCAAAAACTTCAAAGTTGAACATATTCGATGCATATCTCGAGTAGAAAACTTCAAAGCCAAAATTATAAATGATTCAAGATATTATCTGAAGAAATTTCAAGAACAAAAAAGATTTGTATACAGAGTTAAATCAGCTGACAACAATCTAGGTGCCATTTATCAATACAAGAAATGAAACATAAATGTATGCACTAGACATCTATCTAATATAAACAAGAACCAACCTCTAGAATCTCATGAGTCCTCTTCATATTATGTGAAGGAGGACCTTCAAATCTCAATTTAACAATCTCATCCACTTTCCACTTCTCATGAATTGAGTCAACTAGTTCCTGTGTTACACCAGCTGATCCAACCTTTATTCTCTCCACCATCCTCAATGCTGCATTTCTTAGCTTCTTCAGTTGAGGCTCAGGTATCATTTTCTCTGCCATTTCTGCATTACTTTTTCTCAGCTTGTCTCCCCCCATGGGTCCCACATCTCTCTCACCTTGCCATGGCAATCTAACTGAACTTTTAGAGGAACTCTCATATCTATGTAAAACCATTGTTTCCCTTGATTCCAATTTGATATCTTTTTCATCTTTTCCTGATTTAACATCCAATTCTTCAGAAACATTATTTTCACAATGCTCAAGAGATTTACCAATAATATTGCTTTCATCAGCATTATTTTCAAAATTTCTAGCCTCAAAAGAAACAAGCTGAGATTTTTTGGGTTGATTTCCATGAACCCAAGGAGCTAAACTTACCTTAATTCTTGAACCAGAACTTACTGAATCATTTACTACTGGATTTTCTTCAGTTTTTGCCACAGAAAACTGGAGGTCTTGTTCTGCAACTTCTTCTATTGATACTGAATTTAATTCTTGCCAAGGGAATTTTTCCCTTAATGAAGTGGTTTTAACAGACCATTTATTTTGAACTTGTTCAAGAAAACTTGGTCTGGGTTTTTGCTTCTTTTTTGTCTGATTGGTTTGATTTTCTTTATCTGAATGAATTGTTTGGGAAGAACAGTAAATTCTGATATTTTTAGCTCTAAGGTTGTGCAAAGATTGAATTTTGGGTAATGGAATGGGAAATTGAAGTGGGTTTGAAGAAGGATAAGTGAAAGGAGGAGAAATATGATCAAACGATAATTGTGTAGAGGCCATAGCGGCCATGAACAACAGTATCTTCCTGAATTCTTATCGCCAAATCGCCATAGCTTGAACACAGACAGATATTTAAGCCCACTATTTAAAATATATTCATAATTTACAATACATTTAAACATTAGCCATTGAGAACTTACTATCCTGAATTTTTAAGCTGCTAATTTAAAATTCAGAACTAAGTATCCTAAATTTTTTAATTACTAATTTAAAATTCAGGACATATAATTCGAATTTTAGGACACCATATTCTGAAATTTGAATTTTGAGGTTTAAACTCTAGGATGTTGTGTCCTGAAATTTGAGCAAAATTAATTAATTTTTAAATAAATCGTAAACTATACATATATTTTATACAGCATACTTAAAAGTGGCTACCTCGTGTCATTTTCACAGATAGGGCTTTGGATAATGGGCCAGCATCTGGCCCATACATGTTACTCACGTAGTAGTGTTAATTGAGCTTGTAGTTTTCTCTATTCTGAATTATCACGTGAAGCCCAAAATGCAGCCCGACTAGATGGGTCAAAAATTCAAAAAAAATTAAGAAGAATTAACTTAAATAGTCGTCAATTAACAACTTAAATTAAAAATAGCATGCGAATGCATAATATATGTATAATTATAAATAATTAGTCTATAAGCTATATATATCGGCTAAGAAAAGTTAAAAATGAATCCGACCAGATGTTTGTGTAATGAAGAGATGAGACAGTATTGTCATATAATGGACTTAATTTCTATTTTTGGATGACATAAAAAAGTCGTTTAATATAAAAGATGAAGAACTTGATGTCCCTGTACATAGGCTTAGTTAGTATTTGAAGCTTATGGATTCAAAATTTTAATCATTTTAAGTTACTGGGTTCTAAATTAATAATTCGTATATATTCAATAAGTTTTTTAAGACATACAAGATTTGGACAAAAAACAGTGGATTCGACCGAATCGATAAACTATACTCAATATATATCCTATGCAGGCATTAATTATCCCCTATCCCTATATGAAAATCTTTTGTCCTGGTGACAGAATCATCTTTGGATCAAACTGACTTTTCCTTTGTTGAAATATTTTCCATTTTTCCACTAGAATGCAATAGCCCTACGCAGTAGAATGTGTCCTCTTCTGGTATCACAACAGACATCCCATCATCCCATCTGAAAGTTTTCATAAAGTACTAATCAGTTTCAAATAGAGACCATTGACGATATAATTAAATAAATAAAAGTACGGTCTCTCTAACAGATATTATATAAGATGGTCACACAGTTCAATATATATGGTATCAAAGCAGACAGAGATCTTGACTTATTTATGTAATTTTCACATGCTTGACGCACAAAAAAGATCACGTGAAAGAAGGTACCTAATCTGTCGCTAACCCGTCGCTGAAACTGATTAATGTAATATAGTGAGGAGAAATTGAAAAGAAATTAAAGTATCAGAAGTGAGTACTTTTTTCTGGTTATTGGGTACACAAGAATAGGTCCTGTGGTCTTGTTTTGTCTGAGAATAATGTCCAAAAGGACACCAACATTAAAGTCCATAATACTGGATTTTGGTACAAAGAGATTGAGCCAAGGGTGAGGAACATCCCACATTCCCTTTGATTGCAGCCTTAGCTCACCACTTCTCACTCTATTCAGAAAATGTACAAATGTTGTATCTTTCTTGAATATGTGTCCAGACACAAAGTTCAAACCTCTCATCATCTTCTGCAATTCCTGAATAAATACATAAATATCAGTACAATCAAACTTTTCTATAATAGCCTCGTTTGTTCCAAATATTTTTGAATGTTATAGCGAAGTGCTGTTATAGAGAGAACATATATTATAACATAACATAAAATTTGGTTCCGAAAAAGCTTAGCTTTTATAGTGAAGTGTTGTTATATAGAGATTTTGTTATAGAGAGATTTGACTGTATATGATTTCTCAACAATACAAATTTTAGTGCAAGTAGGTTTTTACTTTGTAAAATAAAATCTATCATGATTTTTAAGTACTATCCCCGTTCCAAATTATGAGGCGTACTTAGCTTTGGCATGGAACTTAAAAAAGACTTTTCAAACTTGTGGTCTTATACATGTCATACTAGTGGCAAAGCCAGAAATTTAACTAAGGTGATTCAAAAAAAAAAAGTCACACCAAAGATTTGCATATGTCATGGAGATTGAACAGTTTATATATATAAATATTTATTTTTGTCCTTTTTGCACAGTATAATGTTTTGAAAAGGATTAATCAATAAAACACCACTCACCACGATAGTTATGGCCGTGTGCCACACCAATTTTTTGGCTACAAGAGTATATCAAAAATTTGTGATCCTAAATGTATCATAACATTTGTGTAGTATTATAAAAACTTGTGACAAGACCTTCTATATAAATGTATGAAGTTTAAAATTAAGGTTTCAAATATAAAATGTGTCATATTTTCGCAAAATAGACTAATAAATAAAATATTACTATCACATAAAATGAGGTAGAGGGAGTACTAAACGCTATATCTTGTGACAAGAGCATAGTGTAATCTTCCCCCGTTGTGTCTAATTAGTTTTAGTACTATATAGAGTACAATACAATAATTTCACCTTACAATAAATAAAGATGCAAGACGAGGAGGTTCTTAGACTATATTAAAATGCAAAACTGCAGTCAAAATGGGCTTGGCCCGTGAGGCCAGTCCAACCCAACTCACTATTTGGATAAGATTAGGTTGGGACTTTTTTAGCCCATTTAAAATTGAAGTTTATAAGTCCGACCCAAATCAGCCCGTTGGCTCTTGAAGCTTGACCAAAGGTTGGGTCTCGGCCGGCCTGTGGGTCAAAACTTAATTAAATTTAAATTTGAATATTTAATATTTAAAAAATAAAAACTAAAAAAAACTATTGACTATAAGCCCCATTCCCCAAACTTTTTTTTTTACTCAATTAATAACAAATTAGGAAAGTTTTAAGTGGTCAACAATAAAAAAAAATCAACAAAAAAATTACTTTATGTGACCAATGATCTACTTAAATATATTACTAATAACAAAACTATTTTTCAGTACAGAAAAATATTAATTTTTAATAGCCAAAAAAATTTATAACACTAGCAAATTTCATGAATTTTAAAAATTTTATGGACTCTAATGATGAAATCAGCAAATGATGTTAATCCTAAATTAAAAAACCTCAGCATAGAAACTTATTGAAGTAATACTTGATTATGAGCAAGTTGAAAGCAAAGTATTTAAAAAATATTCATGTAACGTTAAAAAGAAGAGCTAGAGATATGGATAATTTGCATTTTAATTGTGAGATTCCTTATATATCAAATATTTGTTCACATGATTAAGCAACTATGTCACGAAGAAATATTTAAAGATTCGAAGAATTTTTTTTTCCTCTTAGGGCTGGGTTGAGCTGTCCATTTTAAGGCTCATTCAGAAGGTGGGCTGGCCCATTATAGCCCACCAAATTTAAAAGTTCACGAGGCTTGGGCTGGGTTGGCCCATTTTGATAGCTCTAGCAAAACACAACAAAATTCATTTATCATATTAGCAATTTTCAAATTTTTCTTTTTAAATTTCTTTATAAGGTTACACAATCTAGTGGAGTAATAAATGGTACCTTATCAACTGTATTAGCACTCTGATCATCATAGTACTTGACCATTTCCAAACAGTAGATAATTCCATATTTGGATATCAAGGAAAGTATTTTAGCTAGCGTTTGGCCATAAATCCCAAATTTATTTTGAAAAATCTGATTTTGGGTGAAGTTTGGTTTGAAGATGAAAATGTGTTTGGACATACGTTTTCAAAACATATTTTCCAACTTTATTTTGGAAAAACATGTATATAATTCCCAAGTTGCTGAATTTTGGCCCAAAATTATCTCAATAGTTGATTTTGGGATTTGAAATTTGGGATTTGGGATTTGGCCAAAATATGAGCAAAATTTATGGCCAAACATGAGTTTTGGAAAATAAATCCCAAATTTATTTTGGGAAAACTCATGGCCAAACGGGGCCTTAGATTGGTTGGAAGTTGAGAAAAAGGAAGATCTCCAATTATTTGGAGGACTTTTATTCATCATTAGAGAGCCTTCCACATAGTCCATGCCATTATAAATGGAGATCAATTTTTCTTGGTCTTTTGTGAATTTTGAAAAATCACTATAAAACACTCTAACCCATTTCACCTGCAAGAAATTAAATAAAAATTAGAAATTCTCCCCCAAGTAAAAGGACATGAAAATGTTTGAAGAAGATGAGTACTCTTGTTGGTGCTTTCTCTAAGATAATTCTTGCTCTGGTTATGATTCCAAACTGGCCTAGACCTCCTAAAACTGCAAAAAACAGCTCTGAATTTGTCTGCTTGGAACAAGTGACAAGTTCCCCATTACCTGAAATAAAACAAGAAACAAGATATTGAACATGATGCATGTTTAAGTAATATACCTCTATGTTTTATGTTGATGGTACTAATTACATATTGTTTGTTTCATCTCCTTGAGCCAAGGGTATATCGAAAACAACCTCTCCTTGAGGGAGGGGTAAGGTTTGCGTACACTCTACCTTCTCCAGACCCCACTTGTGAAATTTTATTGGATTGTTGTTTATTCGATTTGAAGGTAGATTTTCGATTTACTTGTGCATTGCAGAAAATCAAGAGAGAATTAATTATTTTTCCAAATTTATATATCATTATCATTAAGTAACTATTTTGGAGACTTATTGGAGTACTAGTAGTCAAATTTAGATTTTCAAAGTATAGTTTAATTACCACTAATAAGGGTACTTTAGTAAAAATAAATACTTGAATATTTTTCTTAAGAGCATTACATAATGTATACTGAACAACTAAAAGGAAATATTGAAGAGAATGATACTTTTCACATAATTTATAAATATGTAAATAAAAAACTTGAAATATCAATTCCTAAATTCACACAAATAATTACTAGGTGTTTTGACTCTCATGCTTGAACAAAAACAATCCAGTAAAATCTCACAAGTGTGGTCTGGGGATGGTAGAGTGTACGCAATCCTTACTCCTACCCCAGAGGGGTAGAGACGCCGTTTCCGA